ATATATATATAATTTGAATTGTTGATTTGCAAGGTCTTTTACTCATTTTATTGACCAATTATTTCTATTTTATTACTAGTGATTGAGTTGACAGTATAAGTGAAATATCGTATATTGAATGAAAATAGATGAAAGGTACTAGTAGAAATTAGAAACCAGTATATATATGAATTTTGTGGTGATTTCCACCGGTAGTATCTCAATTTTAGGGTAAGGTAAAATATATACTCCCTCCGTATTTTAATGTATGACGCCATTGACTTTTTATTCAACGTTTGACCATTCGTCTTATTCAAAATTTTTATGCAAATATGAAAATATTTATGTCATGCTTAAAAAACATTTGATGATGAATCAAGTCACAATAAAATAAATGATAATTATATAAATTTTTTAAATAAGACGAATGGTCAAACGTTGGATAAAAATATGAAGAAGGTAGTATATATGGAAGAACAAACCGTGCAAAACTAGCTTGTTAGCTAGCATGAAAAAAACAAATCAAGCGTGTATCACGAGTCTACACCACGTAGTGATCGATGATGTCAAAGTTGACACATCGTTCATCCTGCATGCATGGACAGTCTAGTTAATTGATTAGTGTAGTTGTAGACTTGTGGTGTAGCAAATTAGTTGAGCCGTTCTCATGAGTCACACAATGACTCTTCCAGTTCACACATTTATTTTATTTCCTCCTCTATCTATGCATATATATGTCCTGAAGAGTCCAGTTTATGATAGTAGCTGCATGGTATATTGATCCTGTTTCTCACATGGGGTTTATTTTTTAGCAACCTAGCTTGATTATGTTTGATTATTTTTTACGTCATGGATTATTTAATTTAGTTTAGGATTCTTATAGGATATATTTTGTTTTAAAAAATTTCGAACTTTGTAGATGTTGATCAACAATTAGTAAAACTACAAGTATACATTCGGTGTAAAAATTACACCAATTAAATCATACTTTAAAGAGAGTTCAAACAATATTGGTTTCAAAGTTTGTAAGAATATATATCTTATAAAAAAATAATGGTCAAAGTAGTGAACCTTGAAAACTTTTTTAAAATAAGCATATGCTTTATAAAAATCAACGGATAGAGGTTGTAGCATGATTGTGTAGTAAAAAGAGATTGATGGGGGTTGTTGCTCGTCATACTCTAGTGGAGTGACCGGGACTAATTACTCCAGTAATTAGGGGTTGAGATGAACAATAATTTAGGGTGTGTTTAGTTCACGTTAAAATTGAAACTTTAATTAAAATTGGAACGATGTGACAGAAAAGTTGGAAGTTTATGTGTGTAAAAATTTGGATGTGATGGTCAAGTTGAAAGTTTGAAAAAAAAAGTTGGGAACTAAACTAAACCTTAATTAAAATATGTCAGTTCGACCAACTTGAGACTTTGTCAGAACTCCTTTAGATTCTTTCAAAAACTTTAGTTTTTTCACGTGAATTGAGCACATGCATCTGATTGACGACGATCGATCGAATAAACATAACCCATATATGTAGTGTAAGCGCAAGTCTTTTTCTTATGCTTCATCGCCATTACAAGCTAGGCATCATATATATCCTATCTGGTCAGGGAGATTACAGTTTTCAGGAAAAAAAAAGTTAGGGAACTTACAGCTTTAATTGTCCTTTTTTTATTTTTGAAAACTAGCTTTAATTGTCCCTGTTGCTTCACCTTATATGAGCAAAGCTGGTCGGGGGATTAATTGCATCTTGTTAATTAGTCCAGCTTACTGCATAGCACCGACTTTAAGTGGACGATACCGACAGAAAAACGATGGACCTTCTTGAACACATTCTCAAGAGTACTTCATAGACTTTATATGCCTTGAAGTTGACGGTTGTAGTAGTGTTAGGTTGTTGTGAGACAACATGATATGTTTATGTTCTCTGATACTCCCTCCGTACTCGCAAAGTAAGTCGTTTTGAACAACGACACGATCTCCAAAATACAACTTTGACTTCATGTTTCTATAAAAAAATATTTATTGAAAAGTGATATATGTATACTTTTATGAAAGTATTTTCTAAGACAAATATATTCATATAATTTTTACATTTTTAAACTTAACAACTTGATAGTTATTTATGATTTATATTTCCAAGGTTTGACTTAAACATTGTCTTAAACGACTTCCTTTACGAGTACGGAGGAAGTTTTTTTTTATGTGTTCATGAACCTAATGTTTTATTACTCAATTAAATATTCTATTATCTAAAATATACTTCCTCCGTCTCAAAAAAAACCTAATCCTGGGTTTGAATCTGGACATAGTGAGTCCAGATTCAAACCCAGAATTGGGTTTTTTTTTTGGACGGAGGGAGTATATTTATATTCCATTTTGCAAAGCAATACTCTGAGAATATTTTTTTTGAGCTGTCGATTCAGGGTATATCTGCATATATGCATGCCAGTAGCTTTCTTTTCTTTCCTTTCCCCCTTTGAGCACGTCGGAATATAAGACTCCATTTAAAGGGAGGAAGACTTGCTTGGTACTACTATATATCGAGACTGACAGTAAGTCCAGATATGATTAGCTAGCATCTGATCCTTCTGCCGGAAAATTCCCCGGATAAATTAATTAATTTACACTTGAAATCGATGTGCAAATGCGTATGAACATACATATATATCAACGAACATTAGTTTGGCATCTCACAAAGCTGGAAGCACAGGTCTATGGTGTGTCTATATATTGTATTTTAATTTATAGATACCACAAAGCTAGTTGATTTTGGGCTTTATGTGGTATATTATGTACTGCATGGCAATCAGAAAGTTGATAAGCTAACTTTCGGTTGTTCACTGCTAAGAAAAGAGAAAAGAATAAATAGATAGTAGTAAAACTGTAATGCACATGAACTAGAAAGTACTAGTAATTGAAAAAATATGATTCCATATTTGCGTAGATCTAAGTGCGTGACCAATCACTGCACTGAACTAGCAGCCTTGGTTCTAGCTTGTGACTATAATTTGAGTAAAGCATACGACTTTATCCATTGGTGTGTTAAATTCTTTGGCTTAGCGGTGGAGGGGTAAAGTAACTAATACTCCTTGTCTCAAAATAATATTATTTTTTATCTCCCTCATTTATCTCAAAATAAAATCACTTTCGAACAATATTGCACCGGAGTTCATAAAAATACTCCCTCCATCCTAAAATATAAGGGATTTTGGAGGGATGTAACATATACTAGGGATGTAACATATAAGGGATTTTTCCGTCCAGATTCATAGTCCTAGGATATGTCGCATCTCTCCAAAATCCCTTATATTATGAGGCAGAGGGAGTAGTGAATAAGTGCATTGAGAGTTGATAAAAGAGAGAAATAATTGCATTAGGATTTGATAAAATATGGAGTATTCTAGTCTTTTGGTTTTTATTAGTATGCATGGGATGAGTGGAAAACAAATTTATTTTGGGACGAAGGGAGTATACTACTTCATCAATTGATGTGTTAAATCTTATTTATGCAAACGTGTTTTCTCTTTACCCGTGTAAATGGAAATTTAATTGATAAGACCTTCTCAATGTCTTGAGAAATACGTGAGCTTCATAGTCCATTTATATGGACATCTTCAATTTGGTCCAAAGATAGACAGAAAGCAGTAAATAAAGGCTTATTACTGGGTTATAAACATTTAGAAGTACTCCTTCCATTCTAAATTGATCTACATATTTCATAGGTACACAAGACCAAGAAAAGCTAATAGCTCTCTCATACTATATTTACTCTAGCAACAAACTCAATGCATGCACCATCCTCAATATTTTGCTCATACTATATTTACTCTAGCAACAAACTCAATGCATACACCATCCCCAATATTTTCTAGCCAATAGCAAATCAAGATATTGCATGTGGGTTATAAATACTTGTGTTTATGAATGCATGCATCAATGTTCATTTACTCCAATGCACAAATAACGAATAGACTCAATAAATGAACACAAATATGTAGATCATTTAAAAATAACCTAAAAAAACTATATGTAGATCAATTTGGAATAGAGGGAATAAAAAGTAAACATTTAGGAGTAGCAAATATCAAGGCCATGGTGTTACTACATAGCATAGCGAAGAGAAATAAATAAATGATTTCTCTTCTCTCTCTCTCTCTCTCTCATTGTAATGGGTTTTAAAGCTCAGCTTAATGCTCTGTCTCTCTCTTTATCAAATGTTTTATAGTATTAGAATATGTCATCTGGGACCGAGGTAATTCATATTTCTATTGCTTTACTATTGTAGCTTATTCAACAACAAATATCAACTGACATAGGACCCAGTCCTATTCAACATTTTTCATCTATTAAACATATGGCAATTTGATATTAAATATGACATATCCTACGAATCTAGAATGTGGACTAGGTTATGATTTAGTATCAGGTTGCTATATAAAGACGAATATTATATGTACTACTAATAGTCAAAACAATCCCAGGCGTAAATGTAATGTAGTGGTGTGTGCCCACATGCGACATGTCTTGGTAATAACACGATGGTCCAAGTTTTTTAGGAATGGTTCCTGGCCTTTATAGGCAGAATGGTATAGGTTCCAAGTTGAGTCCAAGAGTAAAAACACTCGAGACAGGTAGATGTCCCAAGATAGGACCATTGGAACATGCATTTGTTGAACTCTATAGGGCAAGAAGAAAAAGTAGTAGGAAAGTGAAAGAGATGCATATCTATTTCCAGGCGTGACTTTGGATGTCAGCGATGAATTGGGTTCGATTCTTTCAGTCGCATCGCACTCTTGACTAAGTGAGACACTGTTAGTTCCTTCTGCACTCAAGCTTCCCTTCCTTTTGCAAAAGTGGTAACTAGAGGAAATATTCTCTTTGAAGGAAGCTAAAGTAAACTCTGTTCATGAACATTCAAATACAACCATACAAAATGCAGTGACACACTGTTAGCCTGTTACATAATTCAATCAGAAAAGAGTAAATCCTAATTCAGTAAAATTTTGAAACACTGGAGGATGCAAATAATTTGGTCTTTCAAGCCTTTTGCGAGAAAGAGTGCAATTCCTCATAAAAGAAACTTCCATAGTTCCAAACGGAAGATGGGATGCATCTGCATGGTTTTGTCAATCAAACAAGAGAAGGTACCAAGAAAGATATCACAAACCGCTATTTGCCAGACCAAAAATTCAGGTAAATCCTTTGTACCACCATTATAAGTCAGTACTAAAGCAAAAGGGGTACCGGGTAAAGTCAAGCCACTGGACCATATTGGCAGGCCTCTTAAGAATCTACTCTCTTCTCTTCTAATCACCAGACCAAACAATTCTTAAATCAAAAAAGGGTTTCTATCATGCGAATCATTTCTAAGTTCTTAAGTGAGCTGGTATCCGAGAGGTCATCCAGCCTACTTAGCTGCCGACGACCTTACATGAAATTTCTGCCTTTTCTTGCCCTGCTGTTAGAGTGCTACTCCTCCTTTTTGTTCTGTTTGCTATCAGTATCTTCTTCAACAGCATCTTCCTCTTCAGCCTTTGACTCGTTGTACTCCAGGAGCTGGCAATGTAATAAAATGTCAGTTAGTATAGCATTTTCAAACATATTTATAGTCACAAATCACAATATATAATATAAAGAAAGAAAAGATGTTTTTTTTTTATGTTGGCACCAAAGTATTCCATCTGTGTTCTAGAGATCATAAAGTGTTCTGGGCCTTTCAGCACCTAAATCACATATTCTGTAACAACCACCACCACAAGGCCAAATGATTGTATAAACGGTATGGTCATTGCTTCAGGCTTAGGAAATAGAAAGGTTTAGCTGCAAGTGATATATAACATCTTGAACATGCAGTGCCATTCCACTAAGAATTTGTATATATTATCATATATATAGAACCCTCTTTCTTGCATGTCAAAGACAGGTGCTCCCATGTCTTATGGTAGCATTTAAGGAGCATGCACCAAAGGTTATTACTCTCGAGTCTTCAGTAATTAAGCACAAAAAGGGGCCCTTCAACAGAATAAATACTACTATGTACACGCAACACGCTCGACAATGGTATTCATTGAGCTACTCTCAAGGTTCAGAGTAATGGACAAGTGGGAACAACCATGTTCAGTGGTAACAGACTTACTGGCTTGACTTCTCCATTCCATAAACAGTGAACAGCAACAAAACCAATCACACCAGGAACAATGTACAAGAGGGCAGGCTGCAAAAACAAAGAGTGCGTTAATATTTCAGAGATGACACAAATCAGATGCAACTTTCTCCTTTTTATAATTGGAGTAACAAGAGTAACAGTTGGATCCTGATGTAATTTTCTTGTTTTCTTTTTTTTTTATTTTTCCCTTCATAAGGTTTATAGGTTTATAGTTTTCTTTGTGCTACTCACAAAATGCATGAATTTGCTACAGACAAAAATGAAAAAAAAAAGGTCCTCAAGCATGTTCCTGATGAAATATTGGGGATGATTCGTAAAAAATGTGTGGAGGTTACATGGTTGCAAATTCACCACCACAATTACCTTTGTTTAATTAATGTATGTATAACAATTCATTTTGTTTAAATAATCTACGAACTAAACTCACTCTTATGATGTGCCTTGAAAATGAGTGGAGGAAACATGATGGCAAGAATCCCAAGTAACATGACTCACCTGTGCGGCTTGAAACCAGTTCATCACAATTATCGTCACGGTCAAACCCACCGTATAACCCAAAAATGCACTATTGAAGTAGCGGTTCTTAATTCCTCTTGAGACATCAAACCGCAGTGCTAGCGCAACAAATATACCTGGAAACAAAAGTAGAAGTGAGTATTATTTGTTAATAGAAGAGTTGCTGCTTGCAGAAATATGTGAGAATTTCATGATCTTCAATCATGAAGGATGAAGAATTGCAGAGAATGCTAAGAGAAGATGAATTATCTGTGGCGACTAGCATCAAATGTTACTCCCACTTCAGTGCTACTAAAGATAACAATGAGTTCAACGCATCATTCAAAAAAGGCATGCACACACACCTCCCAACTAACATAAATTATCACTGGAATAAAAATGACGAATCATTGCCAGGGCTTCAAAGTCAACTATAACCAAGTAATATCAACATATACCCTCATTATACAACAACCAAGTAGTTCGAACTTTGAAGCTAATCTTGTTGCACTCATCTGGATAACAAAGTAGTTTAAGTTAAAATTATTTTCTGCAAGACTTGAACCTACACTCCTTGTATCAGCAAAAAGAACCCTAACTATATCTACATTTAGAACCACAGAAAAAGGTACTCAAATGATATGGTAAACATATACAATTTTTAAATTGGATATTTTTTTATCAAATAATCCAGTTCTAACAACTTGCTATGGATCATGACTTCAAACAAGTTGTCACTCTCATATGGCATTCATCAGTCATCGGTATCCAATCAGAAATCATAGACCAGAAAAAAAATAGCACTAAACATTCTAAAGATTTCATTACTAACCAGGTATCACAATGTCACCAAGCCCAAGCATAGAGAATGGGCGTGCAGCATCTCCTGTTGGAAATAGAAGCTATGCAGAAAAAAGGGGATAACCAGATTAGCCTTTTTTTGTAAAAAGAAAAAGACATTTTGTATCAAAACAAGAGTCAAAATCACTTATAAAGAACACTAACCTTTATCGGTGCATCAAATGATTTTGCAACACTGACCATAACAGGAGTGAAGAAAACCCAGAAAATATCATAGAAAAAGAGGCCAGCCTGAATCAAAAAGGAAATCCCGTGATACATAAGCGTTACAACTTAATAGTGATTTACAAAGTACAGCAAGCAGTGCAATAGTTTCTACAAATATAACAGGATTTTAATTTCATAGGCAAATGAAAGACAAACATAAATTCTACAGTGTCAGATAATTCAAATTGTATTGACATGCTCTACTAAGTAATGGCTTTAATGGAAGAATGGTGAAAAAAAGTAATAAGATTTCTGCCAGAAAATATAAGTTTCAGTTCAGTACAAACAGCCCATACCAAGAGAATAGCACCAGTTTTGAATGATCCAAGTGATAGCATCTCAATTCCCTGTAAGATAAAGAGAATCAAGTAGGTTTCTCTCCAAGTAAAGTTTGGGAGGAAAACAGAACATATTTGTGAAGCTCTTGAACCATAGTTATTTCAATAATGCATATTAACCTTATATCTCAAAATAACACAAAAGCATACCTGAATGCAGAAAGAAATCCCCAAAACATTGTTTGCTAGCCAATGCTTCTTCGCAGCATACCATATGCAAAAGAAAAATCCTGGGATTGATGCAACAACTTGAGACTTGGTAAACTCCACTGAGAGCGCTGAAATAAGAAATTAATGAACTTAAAAAGGCCACCAAGACATGAGCTTGTAACATGATTCATAATTGCACCAATCTGACAGATACACAGATGCAACAATCTGGCATATGATACACAATTGAACCAATGAGTTGAGCAAAAAAAAAAAAAAGAAGAGGTTTGGGTCCTACAGACATACAGTGGAAAAATGGAGCACACCAAACGATGGCATTATCATTCCATTCTTTTGGAAGGAATCGTTTTATGGAAGGCAGCAATGTTGCACTGCATCAGAAAAAAAATAAGCACATGAACAATCTTAATTGCACAGATACAGTATTAAGTAGTTACATGAATGAAAAAGCTCTTCCAAGGAGAGTTTGGACTTACCAGAGAGCGGCAATGCCAAGGATGAAAAAGTAGGCAGTGAGAACAGCATTGACCAAGTCTTTCGAGAGAAACTTGAATAGAAGGAACAGAGAGAGAAGCATAGCACTTCCCACCAAAGGAAACCGCATAGCATGCTCCTTGGACATTGTCTCCTACATAAGAACAAATGCAGGAATCAAGTTATTCTAGCCATATGCAGAAAATTTTGTGAACAACCTATCACATTAGCACCCAGCAGATGGCTCGGTAGATAACAAAACAAACTGAAGCATATTGCTTACAGAGGGTGGAGTCGGCTTGACAGAACGGTAACAGCCCACATAGACAGCAAGACATGCTGTCAATATGACGTTCACATTTGGCTCTACTTTAACCACAAGGGGTGCCAAGCTCAAACCTGCGTACAATGTTAGAATACATAGAACTGCAGCTCAGCAAATACCCAGTTTGTTCAAAGGACTAGAAAATGGTAATAAACAGAACCAATGCTGTGATGACTCAGCCGAATACAAATGTATACCTGCAAGGGCCAAATTAGCAGCTCTCTCGTGAGTTTTCATTGTCACGGAAACAACTAGAAAAGTTCAGTTCCGAAGTGGAATCCACTACAATGGTGAAACAACAGCCCAGATGCTTCAAGGTTTAGTCCCCGCTGAGATACAAAAGAGCATATGCGTTAAATTATACAATTCGGAGAAGATCAGTAGCACAGTGGCGGCGGATCTAACATGGGACATGGGCCTTTTTGGGAACAAACAAACTGCTATTAGTATTATGGCCAAGGCAAATTTCTAGAACAGGAGCAGCTAGAGCTAGGGTTAACGCAAATCTGAGGAAAAAAAAGTGCGTGGGCTAACGCAAAACGGATGCGGCGGAAGCAGAAGGGCGAACGACGGCGACCCTGACTCGCTCGCGCGATGGATGGGGATCGGCGGCGGTGGCGGGAGGATGTGCTCACCAGGATGGATGCGGCGGAAGCAGCAAGAGGAACGAACGGCGGCGACCCTGCTCGGTCGGGGAGGGAGGCGATACCTCGGCGATCGATCTGGTCTCGTCGCCGGCGATGTCGTCTTCTCCCACGCCGATCTATCTATCTATCTACTCGACTCCTCTCTCTCTCTCACTGCGACGAGACTCACTATACTACTACTATTCTCTTCTATCTTTGCATTTATTTTCTTTTTTATTTACTGTAATAATAATTCTGACCTGATCTTTTTCTATAGTGGTACTACTAGTAGCAGTCAATAAATGAGGGGAAATCGAGTTGATAAATTTCATTTTTTTTGTGCGATTTGCATATTGCCCCTCGGAAAAATCGGAGGACTCAAATTGATGAATTTCAAAGTCAACTTCCGCGTGCTCTTGGTCTCGGATTTCAAAGTTGTAACTTTTCTCTGTTTTTTTTTCCTTTTTTGCAAGTTGGAATTTTTATTGGTAGTACATAACAAAGTATTGCTGCATTTGCACTCAAAATTACTATGGGCTCTGTTGGAATATTACATGAATTTAATAGGAATTACTACGAGATCGTTTGGGTTTTTAATTAATGGAGGATAATTTGGTGATTCAACGAGCATTTCACAAGATAGTATGCATGGGTACATGCGAAAGGAATGCGTCGTAGTTATACACTACACCTCCAATGAAAAACAATTTTGGTTCATGGAGCCCATTTGGAATGTGGAAATTCTTCAGTGCAGAACTTGAATGATTTCTTAAACACTGGGAAACCTTCGTGTAAACTATATCTGAAAACAGAACAAGATCTAGTTATACTTCTGTCGGTGTGCCGCAAACCGAATGAAACCCGATAAAAACCAATGACTTTCGGTCAAGCCCATAATAAAATAATTGGCTAAAAAAAACTCAGTTTTTACAAACCTATCCCCAGCAACTTCACGAAAACCAAGTGATTTTCGCAAAAAACCAATCGTTATTGCAAACCATGATTGCATCAGAAATAGGCGTTTTGCAAAAGTCCCCCTGAATCAGTTAACTGTGTTGCTTTCAACCGTAATTTTAGTATGCAAAATTTGTCTCATGTTCGAATGTTCTCAACAGATTAGTCCAGATAGACAGACACTATATGGAACGAATTGCAATTCTCCCATTTTAAGGACATGAATTGCAGTGATACAACATATGAAATCAGAAACTATTTGAGTTTGTTCCTCTACGCTTTCCAGGTCTTCGCCTGCTTTGCTTTGTGAGATAAAGATGGCACCAGAATGCTTTGGTGTTATAGTTCGTCGTCGATCTCGATGGTAGCACTGGAAACAGAGGGAAAGGATTGTTAGTGAACTAGAGGTCTGCAAAGAAAATTCTGCGAGTACAGCAATCTCTTATTTCATGATGACAAAATGTTCGATTCATATTCATAGCACATACCTTGTAGACTGACAGTGTTTGCTAATATCTTCACAAAGTGCTCTGCTGACATTTCCTGATTCTGCGGAGCTCGTTTTTATCCACTCAGAAAGCTGCAACCAAAAAAAGCTCTAGATGAGGCCCTATTTTTAACTAAATTATGATAGATCTGTATAGTTCATAACAAAACACAGCTGTCAAGAAACGGGAAAATTCAGACGATATTTGCTAGTATAAAAAAAGTAATGTATAAATGTCATCCAAGAGAAGCAGCCTACCTCATCCTCAGTTTCCTCCAGTAACCTGCACCATGAGTGAACTTTGTCAGTTCATCCCCTCAGTACACAACAGTCTAAATTAGAAACCAAAAGAAGTAAAGGTGTAAAAGGTTATTTTTAGACAAGCAATAACTTCTCACTTTCAAAGCATATAGATTATTAAGAGTTTATTCATCCTGGATAAATCAGGTCAACAATAAAAAAAACATTAGCCAGTAAGGAAAAAAAATATTAGTAACCAGAAAAGGCCTATGTGGACAGATATGTACTCATTTTTTTTATGAAATTATGTTTGTGTACGATGCACCTAAAAATAAATAATCTAATTTAAGTTCAACATAATGAAATTTATTTGTGAGAATAGAGGCCCTTTTATCTATGGAAAATGACACCTGCCAGAAACTACACCGTTCCAAAGTGTTTGCAACAAGAAGTGCTATTAAAAAATTGTAATAAGAGGTCAGATATGCAATAAAACAACTTTTAAATCCAAAAAACAAATAAAAAATCAAGAAGGGTTAGGGAGGAAATAGATATTGTTTGTCATACCTTCCACAGAATGAGGATAAATTTTTGGAGTGTGCTCGTGCTGCGGCCTTCTTTTCTACAAAAGAACAATGAAGTGAGTAGTCCACAGTTAGTATTTGGAAATACTGTTTTATTACTTTCACTGAGACAAATGCAATACAGAAACACAGGTAGCTAGCAATTTTGGATACTATTTCAGTGATTCTATTGTGATAAGTTCATTGCAAAAACCACAGCACCTGTTGTTTGCTTCTCATTTAGCATAAATATATTCCATTGAGTTCATTTCCACGTATGGGATGAATACCGTCTCAATAATGTATGCAAAACTTGTTTGTATATTGTATTATCATGGTGAGCATATTAACAATGCTCAAAATAACAAAGCAGGCTATAGTCTCCGGATGTACAGTCTAAATCAAGTGCTTGCACCATTGCCTGAGATGGTCGTGTAAGAGTGCTATTAAACAGGATAAGCGAATTAACATATTGAGTACAAGAATGTACAGATCAGGGCTCCAGATTTATTTTGCGGTTACGAGTGATAAAAATGTCCAAGATTACCAGTTTTAAAACTGTTCCAATCTGCTACTTTCACCCATCCTTTTTCTCCTGATTCCAACTGCATACAGCAAAATTTGTTAGATGGCTAAAATGCTTGGACAGATGCAGGCATCATATACAATAGCACCAGATCAACAAGTTCAGATACCTATATTACAACTTAATATAAAAAGTGAACTGAAAAGGTCAGTCTCAAAATTCAAAAATGCGGACATAGTATGCAGTAAAAAAAATGCTAAAACAATTGGATGGAATTTCTACCTTCTGCAGGGTATAATCTTGCATCTTATCACATAGGCCATCCAGAAGCTCAACAACTCGAAGCTCACTTACTCTGCACCACATAAACAGAGTTAAAGACATACCAATACAAAATATATGGTAAGTTTTGTACATCTATTAAGCAAGTATGTGTGAAACCAAATGAAACTTAAAATGACAAAGAGACTCTACATTTAGTGTTAAAGTAACAATGATCAATACAAATTTCTCCCCAAAAAACATGTATGCATATGTAAATATGGCAGATTATCATGAGCTTATGCCCATACTGCAATTGAAAAATAGAAGCAGATGTCTGAGCCCACGCACGGGGAGGTGGGCGTGCTCGATCTCGGTGATCTGCTGCGGCTGCTCCGTGGCGGCGGCCATGGTGTCGAGCTCGCCGTGGACGACGACGCGGTCACGCTCACGCGGCAGCACTGCAGTGGGAAGAGAGAGCAGATCGCGACGTGACAGCGTGAAGTGTGACGTGGATGGGAAAAGCTACCGTACTTTGTGGCTATTCATTGCTGCTCCACGTCGAACTCCAACTCGTTGACAAAAGTAGGCTCTGTCCTCTTAACTATTCGTACGGTTTAACTATTCGTCTTAATAATTTTTTTAAAAAAATATTAATTATTTTATTTGTGACTTACTTTATTAACCAAAGTATTTTAAGTACAACTTTTCATTTTTTTATATTTGAACAAATTTTTAATAAGATGAATGGTAAAAACAAAATATCAAAATCCCTTATATTAGAGGACGGAGGAAGTATTTTCTTTTCCCAATAAATACTAAGAAATACGCATTGGGTTTCACATCATTTATTTCCAATTAGGATGTGTTTAGTTCACGACAAAATTGAAAGTTTGATTGAAATTGGAACGATGAAACGGAAAAATTGGAAATTTGTATGTGTAGGAAAGCTTTGATGTGATGGAAAAGTTAAAAATTTAAAGAAAAAGTTAGGAACTAAACCAGGCCTTATTGTCTTAAAATTTGTTCTTTTTGCATGTCATCAAGTGACCCAAGAGGTAACGTGAGTTTTTCATGTGGTTCAAGATATAATTGGAATTTAAACGACACAACATTTAATTTATAGATTTGTTTTTTATTTATATATGTACACTTATAGGGTGTATTTAGTTCAAAGAATGTTAATTAGTTGGATTTTCAAGAATCATAAGTAATCCTAGAGTACTAGGATAGGTGACCTCCTAGAAAGTCCTTTGTTGCATCCCTCTTTTGAGAAACACTCAAGTAGTCTTCCGACTAGCTCCACAAGGTGGTGGAATAGACGACCTGGGTTCGAAGCCTCACCCCTTCTAATTATTTGATATTAGGTCCTTCCCTAATATTCGCGTTTTTTTAATCCTAGTTGGGTAGAATCGCCGGGAGTGTTAATTAGGGATATAGGATCGGATCCTGGGATAACCCAAATTCCGGAAAATGTGGCACTAAAATCACCCAGATTATCGGGAGTGTTAATAAGGGATATAGGATCCGATCCTGGGATAACCCAAATTCCGGAAAATGTGGCACTAAAATCACCTAGATTATTGGAACCCTGTATTTCAAAGAGTCCCTAAGAACATCACTAGGAGATTATGTATAATCTTCCCCCAAAGATTTCTTTTTTGGCTTATTGAAGTGAAAATAGGTAGCGAAAAAATTGATCTCTCCAAGAGAAAGCCTAAAATATCCCAAAACTAAAAGTGGGCACTTCTGTTAAACTAACACCAGATTTTCCCGTTTTCCTCCCTCTCACACGTGCTCCTGGCGCTCACATGCGCTCGTGACGCTCACCCTTGAGAAAAATCTCGTGCGAATGAGAGATAGGGGACGACAGACACGACGTCGCTCTCCCTCAAGTAAATAGAACAAAGGATGCGGCAAAGGGTTTCCAAACAATTAGGATTCAAATAGGTTGAAACATGAAATGATAACAATGTTGTAACACATAGGAATGTTGCCCCTGATGATTGAGCAGAGAAGGGATCATGCTGGTTAGCATACCTGTAATCAATGACCTTCCCTTCACGCTGACCTTTTGAATTTAAGCGGTTGCGCAAGTCCAAGTGATTTCTTGGTTTCTCCTGCATTAGAGAACTCTTGGAAGTTAATAATTTGCCAATAGTGACAATAACAAGGACAGTAGAAGAACCTATGCTATTATGTTTATGGGAACTGCTGTTTTACAGAAAGAAATATATTGAATCATTTTGAAACTTGCAGAGCTATTTTCCAATACACATAAACTCCAAATCAGCATTTTAAATTATGACAGAATAGTTAAATAAAAGCAGACAGAAAAAGAGTTCACTCACACTTGAAATTCCAATCTCTAGCTCTGCCTGCAAACAAGATCAACAGATACATCAGATCTCTACAATGCGCACTCCATATCAGTGAAACGATGCGCTTTGGAAATTCTACAATGTCCGAGGAAATGTTTGGAGATCTAGGACAGTACGCCTCGATCTCCTTCACAAGGAGTGGAAAATATGGAATGCTAATTTCTTCCCATCCTGGTATAAAACGATTTTAATACGAACTAAATTGCTTCAAGGTGCTCCAAAGGATGAGTGAATTGTGCGCGTATGAACTGACGAGAGGGGCAAAAAAAAAAAGAAAGAAAAGAATACGGGAACTGACGGCAACGGCCTTGCAGGCGGCGCACTTGTCGCCGATGGAGGAGGCGGAGGCGGCGGAGGCGAGGATGGCGGCGAGGAGTAGGAGCGCGGCGGATCTGTAGGTTGCTCGTCGCGTCTCCATCGTCTCCGTCCCCGGCCGCGATCTCTCTCCTCTCTCTCTTGAAGTCTTGTTCCCACTTCTTCGCTCGTTCGTCGCGGTGGTGTTTTTGCAGATGGGACCTTGAGCTCTCACGCATCTTTATACAGGTCCCTACTAATAGAAGCTTCTGGAGTTCTGAGAGTTATTGCCAATACTTATTACTAGATTCGAACTTCTAATTCCTCATTTTTGACGCATAAATTTCCCAAAATATTAAATAGTGCATTTTTGCGAATTTTTCGTTGTAAAAAGATCATATTAATCAATTTTTCAAGTTTTTAAAGCTAAAATACTTAACGAGCATAACCTTACCATATTTACCATATTAGCTTACCAGTTAAAGTCAAAATTCGAATTTTAAAACTTTATTTTCAAGGTAATTTTAGGGGATTTTTTTATGATAGTTCTATTTTCCAGCATTCACTTTTATTAATGAACTATTCTTATTGCTTTGTTTATTTTCCTACGGCTTATCGTGTTTGAGAACATCACAAAGGAAAAAAAATGTTGTCTTGATAAAAAATAAAAATAATCATAATCATATTTTAGCATGAAAAAGAATAATCTCCAGAGTGGCCGAAACAATTTTTTGTAAGGATAATTTCCATTCATATTGCTTTTTAGGGAGGGGGAGAAAGTACAATTGGATGAACACGAATTTCCATTTAAAATGTGAAGTTGCTTCATGCTTCAAAGAAGCAGAGTCCAACACATATATAATCATCGAAAAAGAAAGGAAAATCCTCTCAAAACTCTAATGCCTGTTACTCACACAGTAACATGTTACAATCACAAAATGTACAATTGCAGCACAGGCAATTTGCATCCTTGTCGCCTGGGCTCTGCAATTTCAGACAACCATTTTTTTCTTCTGTTCCTGTCTGCACTCGCCGCCAATCAGATCAGCACCCAGACAAGGCAGCAGCAGGGCCTCAACCTCAAGTTCGCCATGCTGACGATTTCTCCTGATCAACATTCTCTTCCCACCAAGTAGCATTCTGCATTATTACAGGTTAACTCTTTAGATGGTAAAACAATGCTAGCTCTTGACGAAATGCAGATTTGCAAAAGGTACTTTGGAGGTGCAACCATAATAGAGCTTAAAGTTTTATTTTGAGACAGGCTGCTAGCCTGCTACGATAATGAAGTTTAAACTTTCATATTGAATTTGGAGTTTGCACATGAGGTGGCAGGGATAGAAGTACATCGAACGAATCATTTGAAATCAGCATGATGATATGAAGCTGATTATGCTAATCATTTTTGCATTTTACAATTAAAGTGAGACAAAGATGCAAACCTTGTATCCTCTTCTGAGAAATTCTAGTGAGCTTCCTTGTTCTTCTTGCAAACCAAGAACTCTTAACAGTTCTTCCTTAGCCTGAATGAAAAACACGGAACATCATACACCACAACTCCAAAATGACATAACTAATTCATGCAAGCAAAATTTTGTATGACCTGTCCCAAAGTGAACCGAGCTGCACTCTCTGCAACACATGCATAAGAACCATCGGCTTGCTTAAGCATGACCTGCCAGGGCCCTGAACACAAAAATAATTTACTCAAATCAGTACCTAATAGGGATGATGAGAAGGATGATGTCGATTGCCAACCCAGAATCGCACCTCTCATATGTTAGTATTTAGTTTGGTTCTGTTACAAAAATATCATGATGGATTGAAAGGCACAAATTTATGATCTTTTTGAAGCGGACATATACTGCCAAACAAAATTTTGTACTGCTGGTGATACTTTCTACTAAAGTATTACCTGGGTATTGACGGAATACAGCACCACTGTAGTTCACGATATATGGAGTGACTGCAATTGTCTACAAAGTATAGGGAGAAATACTAATCATAGATGGTTCAGATACACAAAAGGAATGGTTAAGTTTGTAAAAGTAAAACAAATGGATACCTTAGAGTAGTCACGCTGCCTGATATAAAATACTGGGGTAAACTGAGAAAGAAATCTGTAATGCAAATCTTTTGGTGGGAATCCCAGAAGCCCCAAGTCAGAGCTGGAGGATAAAGATCATAAGTTATCCTAAGGCGATCAATAGAGTTTAGAAGGAACAAGCCATCAGGTGGGATATAAGACACATACCGCAAGGTATCTAGTTCAAGATTAAAGAGAAGGGCTGGGACAGATGAGGCAAATTGTTCCTGAACAATAGCAAAGTGATGGGTAATGAATCAAACAAATGCACAAACTAACACAACTGCTAAACAAACAATTAATGCATTATTCCTCAAAACCTTGTGTTGCATGCTATTTCCTTACGTTACGTGTGACAAACTACAAAGAATATTCTACATTTTCCACCATCGAAGGTTGAAAATTTTCATTCTTGTTCCAGGGAAAAAGAACTACAATATACAAGTGAATGGAAAATGAAAGAGAAACTCTGTAGGTTGTGGTGTTGATTCAAAATTCCTTGCATTTTCTTAGATATCAGGCACTTGATATACTCCCTCCATCCCATAATATAAGGCATGGTCAAACTTGGTGCAGTCTTCAAAAGTAATCTTTGACTTAAAATTTCTCATATATTATAAGGTTTATTGCAACAAAATTATAATCATCTTAAAGTAAATTTAAATGTCAATCCAATGATATTAATTTTAACAAATAAAATTTAATTTATATTATAATAATTGTTGGTCAAATGTTTTTAAAGTTGAATCTTGGAATGTGTGCACGCCTTATATTATGGGATAGAGATAGTAGAATAGTAAATCGTGTGGCAATCATATAAGGCTTATTTGCAGCTGTGCATGCCTTCCTCAACTTTCTTTCTTCAGTTTCTATTCATAGTGATATCCATCAAGCTCAGAACATGATCGTTTATTAACAGTAGAATAATAAATACCTAACTGGCCAAATGATGGCCAAAACACAACAATGCAAACCAAGCATTCCAAAAAGTACATTTGCATACATGTTGGCAAGAAACAAAGCATCATTTTAGACATACCACATACTTCTCTATAGTTGAAAGGTCACGTGTGCTGCAATTGATGAAGATATATAGCGATGGTGGTTCATCAGATTTCCATCGATCTGTACCCACAGTAGCCAGGTAGTTATGATTTTCTTTTCCAAGGATGCTTATAAGAAATCTGTCTCATATTGATAATGTTCAACTTTTACTGATGGTTGTTACTTGAAATATCTGCTGAAAATCTGACACAATAATATACCACCGAATAATTATCCATAATGCTTATATATGAATAATTACCCACTGATCAACCATGTCCTTCCACTCTATTTTAAAATTTTGAACTGTGCCAAGTAGCAACTTAAAGACTTTGCCATTTGTACGAAAAGAGATACTTGTACATTTTTAGGAAATTTACAAAGATGTTTTTACCAAATCAATTTTATTTATCATGTATCACAGGCTAATGGTTCTCCAAGGTATCTCCTCTATAGAGAAGGCTTGAACATTGAAGTGAGGTCAGACATAAGAAAATTCTGATAAAATGCTAGCGATAAAGGATTCATCTAGCTTGGACGTGACAGCCTCTTGGAGTCATATAAATATAAATTCTGTTTTCTTAATAGTTTAATGTAGTACTCCTACCATACTAGACAAAGCTATTGGTCAATTCACCTTCAACATCGTCAGCAAAGTCAAAATCCAGGGTATCTCTCATTGATCTGAAGAAGGTATTAACAGGTCCGGTAGATACCTCATCCAGGGAACTGATAGTTGCAGTCTCAATCTACAAGAGGTGGAAAAAGAAAACAGAGAAATGTAACCAAATAAGCTCCTACCGTCATGAGGGGAAAAAACAATTTTTTGCATCCTCTTAAGATATTTTGTTTCATGAGGCATTATTTACCGAGTCTAGAGCAGTCCCGAACAACTGGGATGCCCTGCGCTTTTCTGGTAGGTCAGGAAACACCTGGAATCAACTAGAAGATAATTTATGAGAAAAGATTTGCATATGCCCACAAATGCCAGAATGATTCTGGAGCAGGACAAGGCATGAAACTTGAACTTACAATACAAGATCTAGTCCCCTTGAGTTCCTTAAGTTTTCTGGCAACAGCAAGAGCAAGCTGGATGTTGGCGTCGATGAACTCGTCCGAGGAACCCTTGAAAACGAAGCAAAGCAGGGTAGGATGGTTAGAAACAAGCGTTCATCACACGTATGTGGCAACAAAAGCTAAACCCTTTTTAACTTGAAGCCAAGGAAAAAGAGAGATTCTGCTTTGAAACAACATTATACAGAGGTAGCAGCAGCATTCAAACTGAAACTAGAGCAGTCTATATAATATACATCAAGATTAGTCTTTGCATTGTTACAGAATTCACTCATAACAAAGCAAGAAACTAGAACAATGAGTGTGAGTTATGAGACGAGCTTGAGATAGAAATGCAAAGTATACCTTGTAAGAAGAGATGTTGCTCGGCAGAGGCCTTTTCACAAGCACCACCACCAAAAAAAAAAATGAGACAAGGAGGATGAGATAATGCAAGCATTATTAATAACCAACTAAGTAAAAGATTAGGCGAGATGGTGGCGCGAATCTATGGAGGAAAGGGAATGAATAGGTCGCGGGCGTACGGGAACTCGATCTCGAGGCGGGTCTTGCCCTCGTCCATGGCGCAGGCGAGGGAGCGGGCGGCGTCGGAGACGAGCACGTCGTAGGACCGCGGCTTGTACACCGACACCCCCGCCCTAAGCGCCTCCACGTCCCCGGCCTCGGCGCGCGGCGAGCACCGTGCCGCCCCACCACGCCGCCGCGGGAACGCCCCGAGCCGCGGGGCCACGACCGGCGGCGACTGGCCGCACAGGCGACTGCGCGCCGCGGGAGCGGGAGCGGGAGCGCGCGGGCGGAGGCCGGAGAGCGGCGCGGGTGTCGCCATGGCCACGCCGCCGACGACGACGAGTGGTGGAGAGGAGGAGACGAAGTGACGAGCAGCGCCACTGCAATCCACGCGGGCGCCTCGAGGCCACCACCTGCCTCACTGCCACGTGGAGCCCGCACCACCGCACCGGATAAATCCACCAAAAATAAATTAAAAAAAAGAGAGAAGTGAGGTGGAGGTGCGGGGAATCGAACCCCGTGCCTCTCGCATGCGAAGCGAGCGCTCTACCATATGAGCTACACCCCCGATGCTGATCTCCTCGGGAATCGAGCCCCTTCATATCCCCGCCGTCGCCGGGGAAGACGACACGCCCGCCGTCCTTGTCGCCGACCACTCGCCGCCGCCGTCGAGTAGTAAACGGATGGACGGTCCAGATCACCCCGAAAGGAACACGCTCGTGCAGATCGAGCCGGCCCAATGCGTTAATGGGCCTAGCCTGTTAGCGAATCGGATCGTGAGTCCAGCCCGTTAAGAGGCGCCTCTCGCCGCCTTGGTTTCTTTTCCCCTCCCGAGTCCAGACTCCGCCCGCAGCCGCATCGCCAACGCCATAGCCGCCGAGGTTGAGGTGAGCCACCGAGAGGGGAGAGAGAGCGCGCCGAGATGTCCGGCGAGGAGGAGGAGAACGCGGCGGAGCTCAAGATCGGGGAAGGTGAGTCCGTCCGAATCGGAATCGAGTAGAGGTATCGGTTTGATTTGATTTGATACCTAGGGTTTGATGGGTTGCAGAGTTCTTGAAGGCCAAGTGCCTGATGAACTGCGAGGTGGCGATAATCCTGGAGCACAAGTACGAGCAGATCCAGCACATGTCGGACGGGGACCCGTCGTCGCAGGTGTCGCAGGTGTTCGAGAAATCGCTGCAGTACGTGAAGCGGTTCAGCCGGTACAAGAACCCGGACGCGGTGAGGCAGGTGAGGGAGACGCTGAGCCGCTACGGCCTCGCCGAGTTCGAGCTCTGCACCCTCGGCAACCTCTGCCCCGACACCAGCGACGAGGCCTCCGCCCTCGTCCCCTCCCTCCGCTCCGGCGGCAGGTTCGTCGGCGACCCCGGCAGCGAGAAGATCGACAAGATGCTCAACGACCTCTCCCTTATCAAGAAGTTCGAGTAGTAGGACTGTAGCTTATCAGATTTGCTGGTGAACTGTCTAATTAATATCTGTGTTATCTTCTTGAGAGAAGGTGAATCATAATTAGGGCTCATTTGATTTGAATGCTCGTTGAGGTTTGTTCGATATCAAATCGATCCAAAGTTCTGCTGTGTATCAGTGTATCACCTTCAGGAGGAATGTAGTGAGATCATGAAAACCGAGATTAAGTCAATATCTATCTAGTGACTTTTGAAAAGAAAAAGGAGGTGAATTGGAGTACTGATTCATATAATCACTCCTTTTATCTTATGTTTGTCTTTCTGTTATGTATGATCTCTGGGAGTGATGTTTCCATTTTACTATCAGTTATTCATGTGTGATTTTAAAAAAAGGATTTTACCAGTATGTTATTGATTGAAACCGTTGCACAGGATGAAGAAAAAATTGTCCAGGAAACAACCCAGCCAGATTTTCTTTGTTCTGTTTGGTTTAAAAAGAGGTTACCTTACCACGTATTTGCAACAATTGAATGGTGTACTAATTTTTGTGTAGTTTTATTGACATGTGAAGACCAAACATGATTCCACTGTAATCGCTACGAGTAAAAAGGACTAAAGGGGTAAGAATTTCCGTAAAAACTTTGTTCTTCTATCTCACATCAGTGATGAACATCGGCACACATATACTCTGTACTGCACTGGTGATCCGGGAATCCGAATTGAGCCTCAACACCTCCTCAGCATGGTGGAGCTGCTTGTAGCTCACTGTGACAGATTGACATCCAAGTACAAGATAACAAGCACACAGCACAGAAAAAGGCAAGAAGCTTGCATCTTATATACTGCTCCATAGTTACTTACAAGTGACTCGTCTTCTTCTGACTTATATCTACTGAAACCAATCAAAAGACAATATTCTACAAGATCACGGTAAAAACAGATGATGGCGCTTCAAGTCTTGCGAGACATAGTGAGGAGAGCTTTTTGCTTGCTTCAGTTGCTTGAGCTTAGCTACGCTACTACGAGCACCAGTTCCAGCAGCCAATGGAGGACGGCATCCTGCCGGTTCTCCTGATGTGGTCTGCCTGCTCCGCCGTCTTTGCAGCCGCACGGCTCCGTTTCAGCTCCGCCGCGGCCCGCTTCTCGTCGGCAGTGTGTCTCGCCGATGCGAGCTGGCTCATCAGCTTGTCCTGCGCACGGGCTCGCATCCTTTCCACGTCGACCTGGAGAAACAGAAGCCATGGAAACATCCATTAGCCACGGGCAGTGTAGTTTCCCAAATTGATCGTACAAGAACAATTGTACTTGTACAGAGATGGACAAGTAAAGCAAATCGGATTGTTCACTCTTAACAAAGTATGATGCATCTGAATGGAAGAATTGATACTTGAAACGTCCCACTGGTGCAGGTTGTTTCAAAAAAAAAAAGAAGAATTGATACTTAAATTGCTATGCAATATCCAAATTGATGGAAGTTTATGGTAAAACACCAAGCATCATGCCGATGTGACAGGAAAAATTGATCAAGTGATGCTAGGTATAATCCCAAGCTATGTTTTAGTCTGAGACGAAGGCATTGTTCTACTACTCTTCTCTTAAGGCAATATAATATCTTAATAAACAGTACAGCCTCACAACCGTAACCATATGATACTTATTGGCTGTGTGTGGAACAAATCTGTGATAAGCAGATTGAAACATAATTGTAAGAGGGAAGGACAGTGAATTCAGATAACACTGTAAAAGGTGATCAGCTACTAAACTCCCAACAGCAGTAATATATTTAGCTTCCTATGTCAATGGCATGATGTGCATTCTTAACAGTACCAAAAGTCCACAAGATCATCAGCCAACAGCCATAAGCCCATAATCAGAAGAACAAATCCCATATTATTTAATGTGCATGTAAACATGGAAATAAAGTCAAAATAGAATCAAAAACATCTCAGTTAAGATGATACTACAATGCATTATTACAATGCTTCTATTGGATGACAGAAAGCTTACCTCAATTTTTCTCATTTCAGCTTCGATTTTTGCTCTCTGATGATCTTCCCATGCTTGGATCTTAATCTCTTCTCGTTTAAATCTGGAATGCAATAGAGTGACTCACCGATCAATGGGACAATTTAGCAAAAACATACAAAGACAATCCTTTTTTTTTGCAACAAGAGAAATAGAGTTTAGTGAAGAACCTTGCTAAATATTTAGCCTTCTCTGCCTCCTCCCACGCTGCTGCACGAATTTCTGTTACCTTCTGTGTAGATTGGTCCATGGGCACTCCTTTAAGCGAAAGTGATGCATCTTTTTCCTCTTCCTTGTTGCTTGCCCATGCAGCAATGTTGGTTTTACCAAGCTGAGTGCCGAGGAGCATTATCTCCCTCCTAGTCTTCATTTGCAATTCTTGTTCACTTAATTCCACGTTGCTACATTCACCATGGCCAATAACAGCACCGATTGCATTGGGGCCTATTGTTTTTCGTGGAGTAGTTGGGCGAGAACAATCTGGACTCGTTGCTCTCACCGGTGTTCCTGTTCGGGATGGCTCCTGGCTCGCAATAGGGGTCATTTCTGTACCCATGTCTCTCATTGACACTGATCGGACTGTTGGTGGGGGAGGTATGCATGTTGTCGCGCTCTGAAGCGTGGCAGATGAATCATGGCGACTAAAAGTAACTGCCCAAAGCCACAAATTCAAAATTTTAGCCATATATGATTTTGTTCATTTTCTAATTAGAAAAGGCAAAATTTGTGCCATTTCTTTGAAGGAACATTAGAAAATGATGCAAATATTACTGTTCACTTTTAAAAATAAGGATAAATACTTTACACGCAGGACGTATTAACAGAGTGGATCATGGAAAACTGATGAAACCGTGTTACATAAAGTTTTGGAAAAGGAAATCTTGCCTGCATTAGTGGTTCTCCTGTTGACTATCAGCTATCTAAAGGAACAAACATGCAAACTGTATAAATTCATCTATGCAACTGTTGTAACTAAACTGTTGAAAGGGAAATAAAGCTCTGCACATTGTCAAATGCAGAGTATTGCCATTGTGAATGAGACAGCGGTGATGGTGAGTTAGTGATTCATAATGTGCGGAGCCCTCCATGGCATAATGCTCCACTCAACTAATGGCAACAGAAGATCAATCAGACTCTTAGTGGAAGGATTAATAACACTATATATTGTACCACAAACTACTTTATGGAAAGTAGAAAAACCGAAGAACCTGAGGCATGATGACATAAAGACTGCAGCACTCCTTACCAGCTGAATCAGCTACTGTAATTTCTTCAGCAAGTGCAGACTTTGCACAAGTCTCAACTTCTGGATATGGATCAGGTGGGGCCCAATTCACCGCTTTTTGCCACCCAATTTCCCTTTTCTCTTGGCTTGGATCAACCCTCTTAGTATCTATCTCCTCTGTGGCCTCCAACACAACCTTCGTAGCCGGCAGCCTCCCGCCACCAAAGCTAGTTTTTTCCATCTTCCTCTGTGGCACTCCACCAGCCCTACCAGGACGGTTTGTTGTCGGGCTGGCGATCCATTTCTGGGCATCGTCCCACTTTGATGGTGCAGGCTTTGAGAATGGAGGAACGATTGCCGCCGTCACAGACCGAGCAGAGGCCCCTCGCTCCTTATGGAACTCAAAGTTTGAAGCCACACTCTCAGAGTCACAGGAGTCCTCCTCAGGCACCCTTACTCGTGAACCCATGGAGTGGGTGTCACGCGATCGGTGCCCACTCCCTGTCTCCAACGAGGATGAAGATTCTGAGATGGTGCTCACCACATCTACATCCTTGTATTCTTCGCACATGCTACCTCCTCCTACATCAAAGAAAATAAATCAGTCACAGTTTGAGGACACTGAAATCATCTGAAGATTCAAAGCAATCATGGTCTGTCACTTTCAGTTCAGCTGCCCACTAAAAACAATACCATCGCACTTTCTACCTGAAATTATTCAATGCGAAGGTACAAGACTTAGAAGGAGGTTGGACTTCGGTGCCCTTCAAATTCCCCCATGATGACAAAAGACAAAAAGGAAAACATTTCAATGTCTATAGAACCACAATTCACCAACCATTGCCAGCAAGCCAAATACAGATATATCTCCCTTTTTCTCATGTCATTAACCCACTTGAACAGAAGAGGATTGGTCATCTCCATATTAGAGCAGCTGGTCCAAATCGTGCAATGCAGGCGACCAAACCCTCCCAAGATTGAAGCATTACCAACGAAGCCACCAGAACCCCAAAATGCAAAAGTCAGAATGGTTGGGCAGCGGGGGGGCAAGAGTACTCACTGCGCGCATCGGAGTCGGCGTCGGATCTGACAGAGGACTTGGGCACCGCGCCGTACTCGTCGTCCACCTCCCCGGCGTCCCCCTCCTCCTCCTCCTCCTGCCCCTTCCGCCGCTTCTCCACCCCCAGCAACATCGCGCGCAGCCGCTTCGGCGAGAACCCACCGCCCTAAATCCAAAAGAACAGCACAGCAGCCGACCACGCATTACTCCAAACAGGTACCGAGCAGTGGCAACACGCCCCGCCCGGAGAGGCAAAAATGGGGGCAGCGGCGGCGCCGGCGGAGGGTGGCCACTCACGTACCTGGGTGGGGAACGGCTTCTCGATGCGCTCGTACTCCATGGCGGCGGCGGCGGCGGCGGGCTCGCCGGAGGCGGGTGGAGATCTGCGGCTGCTGCGTGGCGTGGGAGCGCGAGGAAGAGAGAGAGAGGGAGAGAGGTGGAGAGTGATGAGACGAGCAGTTAAAAGCTAAGCTAAGCTCGGGAGTGTGTGCGCTTTGACTGCACTTTGACGGACACCAAATTACCCCTTTACCCCCTCCATTTACAAACAATTACGTTCTATGCCACTGATATCTGTGTCACCGACATGTAGGTCCACCCATCGGAAAACTGGACAAAATGGTAAATCCGCGGGAGGATGATGTGGGATTACCTCACCGGCAACGGCACTTTCTCTCTCTCTTTTTTTTCTCACCCTCGAGTACCCCATTGGTCCTTGCGCCGAGTCACGTATGTTAAAAATCACATTCTCACCCATCTCAGTTCTACCCCACGCCACTGTACACCCCGGCCCCCCTCACTCAGGGCCCACATGTCGGTGGGGTGTGGGTAGACCTCCATGCCAGGTTGTACCGGTGGGTCCCACCTCCCCTGCCGCGATCCGAGGGGTGCGTATGAATAGTGCCACGTTGGACTAACAGTCGCTGCAGGTGGGGCCCACGTCCCAATCATGCCGTGTCCTTCTTCCTCCTCCTCCCGACTCCCGAGCCCCCCAGCATGTGAGTGGGGTGGGCTCAGAAAGGGCATGGCGTCGATGACAGGTGGGCCCGGTGCTCGGGTCCGGCATGAGCATGGGTAAATGGTAATTACTGTTGGGGAGTGCACGTCGGCTCGGGATTCTGTGATTAATTAGAGCAGAGCAAACTGTTTGCACATTAATTAAGAGCAGAATGAGTGTTGTTTTGTTCTTGCTCATGTGGACCATGGATCATCAAAGCCTGGGGGCAGCGGCAGCGGCGCCATGCCGCCATGGCAATGGATGAGGAATTGATGATGTTCAGACAAAACCTGATAGTGGAGTACTAGTGCACTACTCCCTAGTTCTCTAAATGTTTCACACCCTGACTTTTCTAAACATGTTTGGCCGTTTGACTTATTCTAAAAATTTTATGAAATATGTAAGGGCCTGTTCACTTTGATGTCATTTTCAACCTTACCAAATTTTGGTAAAGTTGCTAAAAAAGTAGCCACGTTTAGTTTGATGCCAAATTTTGATAACTATATAAGAAATCCTTCCAAAGTTTTGGCAAGTTGCCAAAATTTTAACAATGTCAAAATTTGCTAAGGTTTTTTTTGGCATCATAGTGAACAGGCCCTAAAACTATATATATATACATAAAAGTATATTTAACAATGAATCAAATGATAGGAAAAGAATTAATAATTACTTATATTTTTTTAACAAGACGAATAATTAAATATATTTAAAAAAGTTAATGGTGTCAAACATTCAAGGATGAAGGGAGTACTATACTACGTAGTGAAATTAAAGCATCAGAGTATAGTACTAAAATCTAGCAGATTAACAAGATAGGAATAGGAATACTCCTGTCGATTCCGATGTTAGTTTACTGCTAATCTCGCACGTGTTAATCCATATCTGCAATGCAGCCATCCAGGACAGAAACTTAACCGCAGTAATAACATGGATTCAGCTGCATGGCATCCACTGCCATGAAGATTCAGCGCCATGCCAATGTGCCGTCGAGAATCTTTTTAGTACACATCCAATGGATGTAAGCTAATTTAAAGTATTAAATATAGACTAATAAAAAAACTAATTTTATAAATGAGAGCTAATCTGCTAGACGAATTTTTTAAGCCTAATTAATTTATAATTATGAAAAGTTTATTGTAGCATCACATTGTCAAATCATGGCGTAATTAGACTCAAAAGTTTTGTCTTGCGAATTAGTCTAAGGTTATGAAATGGATTTTGTAATTTGTGTATGTTTAATACTCTAAATTAGTGTCCAAACATTCGATGTGACAGGGATTTGGAATAAGTCCCTCTTTCCCAAACAAGCCAGTCAAAGTTCACTAAAAACTGAGAATCTCATTCGTCATGTCCATATTTTCTAATAAGTCAAAACAGTTTATTGGAGAATAAAAAATATTTTATACGTAAAACTTTTATATATTTGTTCATATCAACTTAAAAACTAATGCTAAAAAGAATTACATTGAAAATATATTAAGATCAACTCCAAAATTCAAATATTGATTTTTTTTTACTTTGGCTTATTGGGCCAACCAATAGTGCTCTAGATAGAACATCAGCACGGTATATCTACTTGCAAATTCAGTACAGACAAGGTAGCTAACTGACCATATCACCAACCCGAAACAAAACAGAGAAAATTACTCCTAGTCAGCAACAGATGGTGACATGATACGTGCATTCTTGTTTCATGTTGTTACTGCCAAATCAGCAGTAATCCCAGATCAGATCCTCGAAATGAAGAAGAAGTACATGGTTAAAAATTAGCAGTTCTGATTCACTCGAACGCTGCACAGCCCAACTTTGAGCTTGCAGTGCAGAACTGCAGATGCTATTATTCACACACACACACAAGTCACAAGTGTAAACTAACAACACACCACTCACTATACATGTATACTGTTACACTGTCAATTACTAGTAGTAATTACCATGTGTTTACTGTACCGTGCCTTTGCGACTGCACAATAATCTACTCTGTTTACTGCAAAACTTTCAGCAATGCAGAACACTGGAATCATCAGCTCGTCTTTTTTTTTTCTTTTTTTTTTGTTCATATACTAACGCCGTGCTGCTTCGTGTCAGTCGGCGGCGGCGGCGGCGATGGCGTCCAGCCACTCCACCAGCTGCTGCGCCGTCGGCCGTGACTTGGGGTTGTCGCTGACGCAGGCGCACGCGACGTCGAGCACCCTGCAGGCCTCGTCGCGGTGCCGCCTCTCGCCGACGCTGGCGTCGACCACCTCGTCGCCCCGCGCCTCCCGCCGCATGCGGAGCGCCCACGACGTCACGTCGCGGCCGCCGCCGGCGGGCCTCGCCATGTCGACGGGCCGCCGCCCGGTCACCAGCTCGAGCAGCACGACGCCGAGGCTGTAGACGTCGCCGCGGTAGGTGGCCACCGACGAGTGGCCGTACTCCGGCGGGATGTAGCCCAGCGTGCCGACGAGGTCGGTGGTGACGTGCGTGTCGTCGTGCGCGCGCACCAGCCGCGCGAGGCCGAAGTCGGCGAGGCGCGGCTCCAGGCGGGCGTCGAGGAGGATGTTGCTCGACTTGATGTCGCGGTGGAGGACGCGCGGCTCCGACGTCGCGTGCAGGTGCGCCAGCCCGCGCGCCGCGCCGCGCGCGATGCTCAGCCGCGCCGGCCATGGCAGCGCGCCGCCGCCCTCGACATCGGCGCGCTCGTGCAGCCAGTGGTCGAGGCTGCCGTTCTCCATGTAGGGGTAGATGAGGAGGCGGTCCTTGCCGACGCGGCAGTAGCCCTGCAGCGTGACGAGGTTGCGGTGGCGGACGCGGGAGAGGGTCTCCACCTCGGCGCGGAACTCGCGCTCCATCTGCCAGAAGTCGCCGGAGAGCCGCTTCACCGCCACCTCCCGCCCGTCGGCGAGAGTCGCGCGGTACACCATCCCGAACCCGCCGCACCCCACGATGCGGGTCTCGTCGAAGTTGCCCGTCGCCTTCAGCACGTCGTCCAGCGTCATCGTCCTCTCGCCGTCGTCGCCATTGCCATTGTCGTCGTCGTTGGCGAAGAGGAGCACCAGCGTTGACCTCGCCGCCGACTCGAGGCTGCCGCTCTCGTCGTCGGCCGCCACCCTGGCGTTGTCCTCCTGCCACCTCGACCACGCCCGCCACGTCGCGACCGCGGCCACCGCGAGCAGCAGCACCGTGCCGACGATTATCGCCGCCACGACGCCGGCATTGGCGCTCCGGTCCTTGCGCCCGCCGCCGCCGCCGCCGTCCACGGCCTGCGGCGCGCACCGCGCCGCGTGGATGCCGCAGAGCAAGGGGTTGCCGTCGAAGTCGGCGCGGGAGAACGTGGAGAACTGCCCGCCGACGGGGACCTCGCCGGAGAGGTTGTTGTACGCGACGTCGAAGTGGGAGAGGAAGCTGAGCCGCGCCAGCGACGGCGGGATGGCGCCGGAGAGCGCGTTGTGCGACACGTCGAGCGACTCGACGCTCGACATGCCCGACAGCTCCGGCGGGATCGGCCCCGACAGCGCGTTCCAGCTCAGGTCAACGACGTGCACCCTGGTCAACGCCCCGAGCGCCGCCGGGACGCCGCCGGTGAGGTTGTTCCGCGCCAGCACCAGCGACGGCGGGAACCGGCTCACCTGGTTGTACTGCCTCCCCCTCGCCGACGAGTTGGGGCGTATGAAGAAGGGGAAGTTCTGCACGTGCGCCTCGTCGCTGCCATCGCCGCCGGCCATGAGCGCCGGCATCCACGCCAGCTTGAGAGGTATCTCGCCGTGGAGGGAGTTGTTCGATACGTCGAGGTAGAAGAGGCGGTCGAGCTCGCCGAGCCATGGCGGGATCGGGCCGGCGAGGTGGTTCCACGACAGGTCGAGCACCTTGAGCTTGCTGAGGCCTGCGAGCCACGCCGGTATGGCGCCATGCAGCTCGCCGTTGGCGATGACGAGCACCTCGATGCCGGCGAACCCGGCGATGTCGGTCGGCATCGCCTCGCCGCCGTGGAAGTTCTTAGTGAGCACCAGGCTCGTCAGGTTGGGTAAACCCTGCAGAGTCCGCAGCGCCGACGAGACGTTGGAGAAGCTGTTCCCGGTGAGGGAGAGGAAGGACAGCGACGTGAACGCGGCGAACGTCGCCGGTATCTCGCCGGTGAGGTTGTTCCGGCCGAGGTTTAGCGCCGTCATGGCCCTGCACTCCGGGAGGCTCGCCGGGATTGGCCCCGTGAAGCGGTTGACGCCGAGGTCGAGGTACACGAGGCTCTGGAGGGCGCGGAAGTCGAGGCCGATGTCTCCGGCGAGCGAGTTGTTCCGCAGGTTGAGGATGCGGAGGCGGGAGCATCGCGACAGCGTGGCGGGGAGTACGCCGGTGAGCAGGTTGGACGGCGCCGAGAGCTCCTGGAGACCGGGGACCGCGTCGAACACATCGGGGAGGTCGCCGGTGAAGTTGTTGAAGGAGACGTCGAGGCGGACGAGGCTGCTGAGGTTGCGCAGGCTGGGCGGCAGGTGGCCGGAGAGCGAGTTGGTGTGGAGGCTGAGGACCTGCAGCGACGTCAGGCCGAACACGTCGTCGGGGAGAGCCCCGGCGATGGCGTTGCCGTCGAGCGAGAGCTCCACGAGCGACCGGCATTGCCCGAACCCCACGGGGAAATCGCCGGAGAAGCCGTTCATCGAGAGCCGTAGTGTCCGCAACCCCGGCGACGCGCCGCACAGGGCGGCGGCGTCGACGTGGCCGGCGAAGCTGTTCCCGGAGACGTCGTACGACGTGAGCCTGCCGGCGCCGGCGAGCACGGGGTGGCTGCCGTTGAACGCGTTGTACGAGACATTGAACTCGCGCATCGCCGGGAGGTCGACGACGGCCGCCGCCGCCACCGCCCCCTCCAGCGCGTTGACGCTGACGTCGAGCACCTGGAGCGCCCGCAGCCGGAGGAGCCCCGCCGGGAGCGCGCCACGGAGCGCGTTACTCGACAGGTTCAACACCCGGAGCGCGGCGAGGCCGGCGAGCGACTCGGCCACCACTCCCCGGAGCGTCGCGTTGGGCAGGACCACGCCGACGACCTCCCCCGCCTCGTCGCACGCCACGCCGCGCCACGCGCAGCAGTCGCCACCGTCCGATGTCGACGACGACGACGCGTTGCCGACCCCCGCCGGCCACCCGTCGACGCCGCCGTCGAGACCGGCCGAGAAGCCACGCAGCGCGGCGAGGTCGCCGGAGCTGCACCGCGACTGGGCGGCGCCGTTCTTGAGCACCAGCAGTAGCAACAGCACCAGTACAGCAACAGGTAAAGCTCCTCCTCTGCTTCCCATGGCTATAGCTACTGTTCACTTCTTCTTCTTCTTCCTGGAGCTAAGGATGGTCATGGGCATCCATCCATGGTGAATTGGTGTGAGAGAGAATTCACATCAGATGATCCGATCCAGCTTGAGCTTGCTAAGCTTCATGCTTGCACGAAGTGGAAGAGAGGAGGGAGAAGGTTGGTTAACTAACTGACTACTAGCATGTCTGGGGTTTGACTCTTTGGTTAAGTTTGATACTAGCTTCATGAGCTGTCCTAAACTCCTATTTCTCCAGGTTAATTGTTTTCAAAGCCTGTTTGCTTACTGACGTGTCTTTTCATTTTCTAGGTCATGTAACTCTATAGACCAAATGAACTAGGAAGAGGGACCAAACTATTTCTTTTTATATTTTAAGATGATGGAGTAAATCTAACTCTTTGTTTCATGTGAAATTGTTGCGTTCAGACGTAGTCTCTGTATCAGAGTACTCTCTCCATTTCCATAGTTCTTCAGGTTTTGGATATCTACATGGTTTCTAAAATATATCTTTAACTATGATTTTCTATTATAACACATAAAAAATAAGTAAAAATGTTTGATTTTGTTAAATTTCTTTTCGAGAATAATCTATACATCGTGTTTTAGTGTTTTTAAATTAAATAATTTAAAATTTGTTGATAGTCAAAGTTCTTATTGTCTTGATCTTAATCTTATTCAAAATATCAAGAATTATGAAACCAGGGATTAAGTTATTTTGTTAGTAAGTTTGGCTTATTTTCTTGGATCCATTAGGAAGCACAACAAGGATATACATTTTGTTTCATGTCATTTTCCTGCTAATGTTATAGTACATCATGATGGAGCTTAGTTTAGTGGGCAATAGAGATGGAGGAGAGGAGACCTTTTAGCAGGCGGTGATTTAGGGAATAAGTCAGCGGATGTGAGTGGATGACACTAGTGTCAGTAGCAGAGATTAATTAACAGCTATAATTAATCTGTGAAATGGATGGCCTCCATTTGGCGATTGCACTGGAGGGATTAGCACAGGTCAACATAAGATGATCAGATGGTAGTAAGTCGCCCAATCTCCCGTACGTTCCGGTGTCAAGAAGAAATCAATAAAGTTGTTAATTAGTAGCAAAACATACTAGTGGCAAGTTGTTTGTAACTTGTTCTTCGTGGCAATTTCTTCCTTTATTCAGCTGTTTTAGAATCAGTCTAGTCAAATGTTCTAGATAAAACAGGAATACATGTAGAATTACTGAATTTTTTATCGCTTAATCCGTCAGTGGAGTTACTCTGTACATTTCTTAGTGCTAGCAAAATACAGTGTGTTGCAACAGATTAAGTGAAATAACAAAAAAAAATCAGTTCGCCTTGCTAAAAAGGAATATTTGTCTCTGCTTGATTTAAACAGAGACGAGAGTTACACATTTCAGAGACGGTAATACGTAATAAGTAATAACTGAGAAGTGCAGATACAACAGATGAGGTTGGATTTCAATTCATTACTAACTTCTAGACAGGCAGATACACAGCGATTAATTCTAATACTAGTAGGCACTACTGTAAAATTTGTCTTAATAATGGTCGAAGGAATGGGAGTGGATCATGCCATGGGTAAGGGTAACCGGTGACAAACTCTATTTTTCAACAAAATAAAGAAGTTAACACATATTGATCAGTGATCGAACCTAGCTCGGAGTTATCAAACTCTTTCACTGTCAAAAGTAAACAGAGCATTATAACAGTGCTCTCCCTGTCATAACACTCTGTTCAAGTGAAGGAAAAAAGAAAAGACAAGTAGCATAAAAAACAGCAAAAATCTACTGGCAAATAATTCAAGTCTACGTCCTGTGCATTCCTAAGAAATCAGTTTTCTCTGTCTTTTGCAGAAAACAGCCGACACTGATGGCTTAAAGATTACTCCTACATAGGATTATCAGCTTCCTTTGTCTGTTCATACACGCATCTATCTGCAAAGTCAGAAGTCTCTTTGGTCTACTAGTACCTTGATTTGTCATCCAAACCTACGAGTACTTATGTGAGATTTAAGCCAAGCACTTCTGGTTCAGGTAACAACCCGAGATTAGTTTAGGATATGGTTGACCTCTGAACAGCAAGGAAACATATATATAGGTACAAATGTACTACAATGAATTTAATGGGGTTCAGTTTATGTACTATAAATAAATCCCCTTGTTTGTTAATTAATATACTAGGTAGTTATCTTGTCTGCTTAAAAAAATTAGCAAACTAATGGGGGTAATTTATTTGTTGCATTTTGCTGTGGACTATATATCCTGGATTATTGGTTAATCATGTCCCTATATGAAAGAATAAATGATGTAATGTTCACATAGTGATTGAGCCCTTAGAACAGTTTCACCACAAGTACCTTCACCCATGAAAATAATTATTATTACTATCATTTACTTGATTAAAATATAATCAGTCACAGATTACGTAATGCTTCTGACTCTGCTTAAAGAGAATTTCAGGAGGAAGCAACCGAGTGCATTCATGATAAAAAAATAAGGTTGTTGATAACAAAAAGAACAGTTGTTGGATTACTGCAATCATTCCAACATTAAAATAAAAAAGGATTTCAACGTCTTAACTTGGCTGGATTGACACGCATTACTTGTGATATATGATTACCTGAATGAGCTATTTATCCATGATCAACAGTAAATTGCAACATTACAATGTAAACCATACTAACTCATGTAGGTTTTTCAGGCTCATACAATACTTGGTGACCATTGGGCAGGCCCCTTTTTGCGACGAATCTGCGACGGATTGTTCCAAAATGTAAAATTTCAAGATCAACTTTGCTAATTATATAAAAACAAAAAATGCTAAATCAAATGAACAGCCTTCGGGTATACTCCAATGGCTTTCTTTACCAGCTGCTAGTATAAGTCAATTTAAAGAAAAACTCTGATTTCAGTGTTCTCTTGGATCACAAGACCAAAAGGCATGCTTCATGACTACTCTGAAGAAAAGGCATACTTTGCAGCTGACCACCTGATCAGATGCAAAGTGGCCTGTTACTTACCATTTGGTCACAAGATGGTTGCATATAGTTGCAATCTTTAATTAAGCACTGTATTTTCAATTACACACATCAACACCAGCTTTCTTTTCCACTAACACAATTTTTCCACTCACCTTTCTAGTATTCTAGTAATAGATGTGCATTTGCAAAGTCAGCATCATCAAATGACAAATGCCAGAGTGCAAGACACCGAAAGATGTTCCTTGAGGATATGATAAACTAACAGCATGATTTTTATGGTCAGAGAGACAACACTACTATTGCCAGGGTAGAGCTGAGGCAAATCAAATGGATGTTTTTTTAGTGTGCTAATATATCTCTAATTCTTCCTTTTTGGGCATATTAGGAGATGTTATGGTGCTGCCTTTTGCTTTGCATCTGGAATTAACTTTCTTTAATCTCATGATGAGCATTGGATCGGAAGGAACGGCTCACAGCATGTCAACTATTTTGTTCAGGTATAAAATATGTTGGTGTGGAGGATGGTGGAATCCACATGTTGAGAGGCAGAGATATCAAAGGGTGTTGGAAATCTTCTTTGCCACTTCATATATAGTCTCCTTTCCACACCTATATATATTTTTTACTTCTAGTTGATACATTTTACAAAAAAAAAGAACTTATTCCCGGCGAAAAAAAAGAACTTACATTTGTACACAAATGTAACTCTAGGATTTTACACATATAATGTATACCCATATCTCTTAACTACTTCGTCGTCCTCCTTCCTCCCCTCCAAAAAAAAAACTTCCTTCCTCTAAAAAACCATTCCTTTCCCTTAAAAAAACACTCCAAAAAGACCTCAAAACATAATGCATCGTGAAAACCCGGCATAGAAGGAAATTTAATCATATTTCTATCACCCAATCCCGTTGCAAAGTACGGGCATGTAACTAGTATGTAATAATACAAAAACTTGAGGACCAACGAATTCTCTGCCTATCACAAGAAAGATAATGCGAATTATGTCTTCAGCAATATCCAGTTTGTTAATCTACTAGATGAGCAAACATGCCACTTTGTTAGCCTTGAAGTTGACAGTCTCTTATTTTCAGAAAAGATAGGATGCATAAAATCCATTGACAGACATGACAGCTAGCTAGTTCGCACAAATGTCAATTAATCACCTTCCAAGAATCATCATTTTACCCCCAATAAGTGACTAGAGTGTCTAGCACCTACTGATAGCCACACTTGAAGCCTAAGCTTCCCACAGAGCACTCCTAGTTTGACACATAATATTGAACCACACTATAATGTCCAATTTCAATACCTTTTTTCCTTCTGGTAGTGATCAGAGATGCAATGAGGCCGTAGTGGTGGATCAGCTAGCTAGCTAGCACACAAATATATACAAATGGCAAAAAACAATAAACTAGAGGATGGCACATTTCCAGGTGTTTGCAAACCCATGCACTATTTTTGTTGTTGGTGGTGATAAAAAGGAATGGAATGGAATGGAAATGGAATCCATCCATTGCTTTGTGGAAGGGGCATAAAGGAGAGGTAGAAAAGAAATTGCAGCACTTGCTGTTGCTTCTGATGGCCCTGAATGACTGAATCTGAATGCCATGCATGAATGAAATGAATGAATGCCAGGCCTTAAGTGGAGCAGCATCCATCTGTCTAGTGTGTGTATGTAGTAGACAGGCCTCAAGTGGAGAAAACATCTTGAAGCTTTTTTCTGAAGGAGGAAGTTGCTGATCTATCTTCTTTTTACCTATCACATGATCATACTTGCTTCTCCAAATATGGCCCTCCACTTATTCGTGCTGCCATTCTCCAAGGAGGATATAGAAGTTTTTATGCATTCACACAAAAAGTGAAAAATATTCGGAATTCGGATAGTCATATTCTGCAGAAAAAACTGGCCTTTCTTTTGTTTTTACTTGGTCAGAATAATTATCTACAAAGAACAGTCTCTCTTTCTCTATAGTGTAATTTTTAATTTGGTTCTATTCTGTAATCGTAATAAAGGAAAAGTAAAGCCACGAGTTTATTTTTTTAGAACAAAGCCAAGATTTTGCTGTTCTTGATTCTGTGCATGAAGAAGAGAAGCCAAGAGGGCCAAGGCTTTAGTAGTTTACATTTGAGACCCATTCATTGGTTATAAGGCCAGGCTTGAAACACCAGAGGGGATCATGGGCTCAGGCATACGAAAGGAGCCCAGTGGGCTGAGCATCTGTGGCTGGATTTGTACTTGGATTGGATCTTCTCTTCAGTAACATTGCTCCAGGTACACCAACCTTGAAATTTGAAGTATAACACTGCCATCATTTGCTTGAGGATTATCAGCCGCGAGTAAAATTTAAATTTTGAAACTTAGTTTTAGTTTTATAGTTATCTTTTGCATCGACTTTTAAATGACTAAGTTTATACATATATAAAAATTTTACTCATAATTTTTTCCATACTTCAATCTTTTTTCACATCTTATCAGTTATAGAGCAAACGACGAGCTTGGGAGCATTTGTTTTATTTTAAAAAAAAAACTTGAGGTATATGGTCTACACACTCACACAAAAAAGAATTGTGCTAACAACTCTACAAAACGCATACTCAACTAGTCAACTCTATGTTTATATTATTAAATCACGAGTCACACCACTCTCTTTATGTTAGGCTAATTGACATGAAACAAACTTTTCTAAACCTAATCAGAGTAAACAAATCGAGAACAGATGCAGTAGCCAGTAGATGACACTGATCAAGTTGATCACATGAAACACAAATCCAAAAATAAAAAAAACACAAAAAAACATGATGAACAGGACCACATCCTGTGCTATACACGCTCATCATCTTATCTCCCCTTTTTTCCCAGCATCTTCCTCAGCCACCAACCTATTCTCACTTTTACACCCAACCCCTCCAAAAAAGTATAAAATCACAACATCACCCCTCTCCACCACAGCTAAAAACTACTAAGCGAGGACTCGTTAGACATTACAGTTATATCCAGGGTGCAATCTGCAAAAGTCTCATCCCCAAATCCCCAATTCTTCCCCGACCTCTCGCTCGCGGAGGAGGAGCGAGAATCCCCGAACCCTAGGCCCGATCTCCCGCACCCGCCGCGGGCGATGGACGGAGGCGGAGACCCCGTTGACGAGTTCCTCATCGGCGGCGGCGGCGAGGACGGCGACCTCGGCGTCTTCTGCGACGGTGTGCCGACGCTGCCCTGCGATGGAGGGTACGCTTGATCCGCTTCTGTTTCTTTTTGAGGAGTAAATTGAGCTCGAATTGGGGTTTGTTGCATGCGTTTTGTAGTGTTTGCTGTCCTTGTCGCTGCAGGTTTGTTGCTTAAAAAAATTGCGGTGATGTTTGATACTACTTAGGAGTATTTTTTTTCTTGAGAAAAAGAGGGGGATTTTCACATGTACACCGTCTAGTTGGTTGATTGATTGATCGATTAGGTTATAGTAGTATATGAACGAAGAATTGTGATTGCTAGCTGATTTATAGGCGGGTTCAGCAAATGCTGCTACAGTACCCATCGATTGGAGGGCAAAAACCGTAAATTACAATAGCGTGTACTAGTAGTTCTGGTGCTGTTGGTACCATTCCAATCGAGCTTATTGAAATCAATTAGCAATTTGATTGCGCCCTTATTGGAAAAGTGGGCGCCTGCGTGATAAACACCTAGTTGCCAACTACTTGCCATAGGATATGTTACATTGTTCTTTGCTCTCTGAAATATCTACACAAGTATGATTCTGAATGTAAAATGTTAGCTTTGAAGCACTTGCTAATGGAAATATGTATGGCAGAATCTTTTGTTGCCTACCTGAGCAGCTATACCTTGCTTGAATAATTTTTGTTCCCATCAACTGTTATTCACTTGGCGCTTACTTTGTAATTATTGCAGACTTGGGATTGATGATGTCAGTGGAGATACTTGTTGCCTTGACCAATCTGTTTTAGGGAAAAGGTCTGTCACTAGTTTCTGAATCTTACTTTCTTATGATTTTCTAAGTATCTTTGCTTACATACCTTGAACTGTTACTGATAGTTATAACTTTTCAACCATTACGGTATTACCATGAACAAATTTAACACAGTATTTAGACATATTATTCATTTTATTGCTGGGACCATATTTGATTTTCATTTGTAATGGTTCTGATTTTGTGCAGAGGTAGAGATGAATCATCATCATCTGGTCCAAAGTCCAAAGCTTGCCGTGAGAAAATTCGGAGGGATAGACTGAATGACAGGTGTGGGAATTAACAACGTGCCTCTTCGCCATCCCTCCATGTAGAAAAGATGAATGCACTCACACATGCATACATGATTTTCCACATATGTCTCAGCTGTGATCTATTTTTCTCAATCGCAGGTTCCTTGAGTTATCTTCCGTTATCAATCCTGACAAGCAAGCTAAGTTGGATAAAGCAAATATCTTGAGTGATGCAGCTCGTCTGTTGGCAGAACTCAGAGGCGAGGCAGAAAAGCTTAAAGAATCTAATGAGAAGCTACGAGAAACAATCAAGGACCTTAAGGTATTTTGTTCTCACAATTTTTTACCTTCTACCCCTGGATTAGAATGCCTGATGCCCTCCACAGTCATGTCCTGTGTCCTAAAATGATATATCGCATGCACTGTTCCCAGGAACAGAGTTCAAGCAGACACAACAAAGAAAACTTTTCTAAAGTGCGCCGAGTTTGATTTCTGTGCAATTGTTGGTTGGTTCACCAGATAATAATTACTAGGTTCACTACCTTCACTAATGGCAAGTCCGGAATTCATTGGTCAGACCTCCCATGCATCTACGAGAAGTCTTGATCTGACCAAACATGTATGTTTTATGGCTCTATTATTTTTCAGGTGGAGAAGAATGAACTCCGTGATGAGAAAGTTACTCTGAAGGCAGAGAAGGAGAGGCTGGAACAGCAAGTTAAAGCATTGAGTGTTGCTCCTACAGGATTTGTTCCTCATCTCCCTCATCCAGCTGCATTCCATCCCGCTGCATTCCCTCCATTTATACCACCTTATCAAGCTCTGGGCAACAAAAATGCTCCTACGCCCGCAGCATTCCAAGGGATGGCAATGTGGCAGTGGTTGCCTCCAACTGCTGTGGACACAACTCAAGATCCAAAGCTTTGGCCACCAAATGCTTAATTAGGTGCAGACTAGCTATGCTGCTATTCATCCATTGGCAGATCAAAATGTGTTCGGTCTTCCTGGAGAGTAAAATAGTCCGCGATGCTGTCCATTACGTGGTAAACTGTTCTTTTATTGGAGTTCTGTTTTTAACTCGTCCTATTGAGGGGCGATGCCTGTAATTAATCTGGATCGTAACCCTCTTGCCTGGTGAATGCTCCACAAACTCTCATGTCCCTCGCATGAGTTTGTTCAAGTGTGGAAGTTGTGACTGTGCTATTATTTTAGCATTGGCTTGGCAGTACTTGTTCTGTTTCTAGCAAGAGTTTCGCATGTGAGCACATGCATAGCAATATAGTATGTTCTAAATTAGTTCATTACATTATCCTCAAATTCAGAGCTGATATATGGTAGTATTTGCTTGTGATGTTGAAAATTTATCCATCCTTCTTGTATCGTCAGTTTTGGTATTCAGGACAGCGTTGCCACACCTATGTAAGTGCAGCGTTTTGAGGCACAGCAGAACAGGCTACAAACTGAAAATGTTTCGGTTAATTCCCCCAAACAATAATAAATATCTTGATTATCCCCAAAGAATGAAGGGACTATGCTTTTACAACTCAAAACTCTACAAACGTTTTGCCATTTAACAAGGGGCAAAGATAAATTGTAACGAACTTTGTTTTGTCATACTTCTATTTGACGCAGTTAGATTTACCAACCATATGAAACAAAAAAAAGGGTATGACAGATGTACTATTACAAAGTACTGGAACAAAACCACTGGCAAACTAATCGCATGATGAAATGGATCGAACATTCGAAATTATCACATATTTGCTGTCTACGAAATAGCCTATTCTGCCTTCTGTTGTCCATAACGACACTGAACCGATTCCCCTTCGATGAACTTGTCCACGGCATCTGGTGGGAGGCCAATCATCTCTAATGTCTTCTCCCATACTAGCTGCGACGTCTCGAGGTTATGTGATTCTTCAGATGCATTCATTGGATTACAGTCATATGAGATGCAAGCACAAACAGGCCAGTCTTCAGACTTGAGCATCTCGCAGTAATCTGGAACTTGGGGATCAGAAGCTGCGAACAGTGTACTTCTTGAACCTGCATTAGATCAGTAACAAGATATTGTGCATGTCAGAAGGTGGAGAGTTGTCAATTGATAGATAGCAACGTCTGAAAGGTCCTGTACATCACCTTCTTGAGCATCGAATATGAAGTACGGAATCAAATGATATGCAGCTACAACAAGCTTGGGGAGATCCCTTGCCTGCACCATTTATGGGCATTATTAGATCAACATACAAATAATAAACTAACAGAAGGAAATGAGAATAAGTTTGCCAATATATTCAGAGCTATAGCAGGCCAAACGGGCGGCCCGGCCCAGCACGACACGGCACGCCGACGGCACGGCCCACTAGGGCACGGCCCGTTAGGCACGGCTCCTATAGCGGGCCGTGCCGTGCCGGCCCACGTGCCAAGGCCACGGCCCAAGCACGGCCCAAGAAGGTGCTGGGCCGTGCCGGGCCGGCACGGCTACTGTAGTGGCACGTGGGCTGGTAGCCGGCCCACTAGTACATGTGGCCCATAAAAATTGAAATTTGAGGGGAAAAAAAGAAAAAAGGCAGAAAAAACATAATATAAAGGAAAAAATGATAAATATAGGATAAATGTGAGGAAAATTTAGGAAATATATCATAAAATATATGGTACAAATAGGATAAAATGTGGAAAAAAATAAAAAATATGAGAAATATATGGGAAAAATTAGAAAATCGTAGGAAAATAAATGGGCCGGTGGGCCGTGCCATGCCTGGGCCGTGCCGTGCCGGTACGCTACAGTAAACGTGCCGTGCCGTGCCAGCCCACGGGCTGAGGCATCGGCCCAAACACGGCACGGGATAACGGGCCGTGCCGGCACGGCCCACAGGCTGGCGTGCCGTGCCGGGCCTGGGCCGGCTACAGTACTGCCGTGCTCGGGCCGGCCCGGCTTGGCACGGTCCATTTGGCCAGGTTTATTCAGAGCACAGATTAATAGAGGTTCATTAGGATGCTCAAGAGAGATTCTTTGCTGAGTTGAACTAAAAATAGACATGACTAATCCTCTCGGAAAATATGTAGCCTTAGGTTGTGGTATTTCTTTTCAACTGTCCTTGCATTAAGTTACTACAAAATTCTTTGGCTTCCATTTTTTCCCCAATAGTGCATGTGTTTCTTTTCTCTTTATGGTAACACCCGAAAGGGGTTGGTCTGGCTAGAGGCATATGCAAAACTAATACCACAAACTTCTGGTTCTTTAATTCCTATGAAATAGCATGTTTCACAGGGCAAACATTGGACAGGGGGAAACGGAACTCACAACATTTGTATGAACAATCCCAGGAGAGGCACAAATAACATTAATTTCAGCCTCTGCCGGAATCCTCCTGTGAAGCATGCTGCTAAATTTTATCTGCAAGTGAAACAAGAATAAATCAGACCTACATAGCATGAAAAAAGTGCATGGACAGTTTAGATACTGATTGTTCCCTTGCAATAAAGCAGAATGAAAACAATACAAAGTACAATAAGGAAATTAACGTTGCAAAGGGAACAACTGCTAATTAGCAATCTAACACCTCTGTGATACCTGTGCTAACTTGCTATTTGAGTATCCCATCAAACTTGTAAATTTCCGTTTTCCAGATGTCAAGTTCATATCTTCAGCATCTACAAAACCTACTGTGTGCATCTGAAATTGCAGACAAGCTTGTTAGATGGCAGAAGTGTATCTGGAGGTATTTGTAAATTTTACACAGAAATGATTCTTAATTGTCATTAAAATAATGAATTCAGACAAGTTTTTCAAAATATTGAGGTTAGGATTAATAACCAATTTTATACATGATAAGGAAACCGTGGTCACTTTCCAACAATTCCTAAGTAGGCAGTCACAGCACAGGTAAGAGTAGAGACTCACAACTGAATTAACGTTTACAATTCTGCTAGGAGAACCACGAAGAAGGGAAGGTAGAAGCAACACTGCCAATAAAGCCGGTGCAAGATGGTTCACTTGCATGTGTTCTTCATACCCATCCTTTGAGAAACGCTGGGGTTCTACAGAAAATGAAAGAGTTAGTTATGTCTGGTACAATTTGAATTCTTTACCGAGTAAAATGCAAGTTGGATTGATTTGATAGACCAAAAACAAAAGAAACAGATTATCGTCGAAGCATACAGACCTCCTATAGAGAAAATGCCAGCGTTGTTGATCAATACGTGTAGGGGTGCCATACGAGCATTCCAGGCATCGGCAAATTTTACAACTGAATCTAGAGAGAGTAGGTCAAGCTCCATCACCTTAAAGAGTAATATATTAAAAAATTGTCAAATGATCTGCAGCTAAACCACATAAATGTTGGAGAAACATGTCTTTGTCTTTACCAATTAAGATATGCATTCGCAACAGATATCTTCCAATTGATTAGAAAAGCTAGATGTGAAGGACACACTATAGTATTTACTTGAAAGTTGGAATTCGATTTGAGCATATAAGGCCAGAAATTCAAATTTATGTGTGTTAAACAAGACAAACTAGTAAAATGCCATGAGACAACAATTGTGTACAGCCTGTAGATAGTGTCTTCATGATTACCTCAGCATTAAGGGGCTTTCCTATCTCTGAATTATCATTCTGCCATTTCTGAATGAGCTCCTGCGCCAATTTGGTTCTCCTAACAGCCATCACAACATGACCTCCTGCCAGTGCAAGTTGTCTGAATTGACCACAAGGGCAAATATACACTTATATTAGTTATAGGGAAAGATGTGAGATTTATAAGAAGTTTACACGTTTTCAAATTTGTAATACTTTTCGACATTAGAAGATGCAACACCAAATCTATTGAACCGAACATAAGTCTTTACAAATTTTACAGATACAATTACATAAGAACCAACGATATGACTCAGCTCCGATAAGAAATGCCGTTGACTAAAAAGTGAGGTCTGGCAAATTAGCCTGATAGATTTCATGTTTATTGATTGGAATCCTATCAAGGCACTCTCCAAATAGAGGAAGCCAAATGAAGACTTTTGACAGTTTTACTTATGAAGTAACAAGATGAACTGCAGTCAAGGACCAATTCAGTAACATGTATGAGTACCCCTAGTATTTTGTTCCAGAGCACAAGGGCAAATATACACTTGTATTAGTTCCAGAGATGTGAAATTTATAAGAAGATTAGGCATTTTCAAATTTGTAATACTTTTCTACATTAGAAGATGTAACACCAAATCTATTGAACCAAACAAAAGTCTTTACAAAATTCACATATACAATTATATAGGAACCAATAATATGACTCAGCTTCCCAATAAGAAATATCGCTGAATAAAAAGTGATATCTGGCAAATTAGCTTGATAGATTTCATGTTTCTTGATTGGAAACCTATCAAAGATGCTCCCCAAATTGATGAAGCCAGATGAATATTTTTGACAGTTTTACTTGTGAAGTAACAAGATGAAGTGCAGTCAAGGACCAATTCATTACTGTAACATGTATGAGAGTACCCCTATTATTTTGTTTCGAAAAATTTCGAGATATTTAACCATTTGCCACATTTAGATGTGGCAATTAACTTTTTGCCAGGACCCACATGTCATTGATATAGGGGTGGCAAATAGTTACTTGCCAAATCTAAAAGTGGCAAATAGTTAAAAGCCCCAAAAATTTCAGGTTAGCACATATAAATCTATTTTCACCATAGTATTGCCATCCCAAAACGATTCATCAAATAGTAAAAATAAGAACTTCACTAACTCTACCGTATCTGCCTACTACAAACCAACCAGCGAGGCTTGGATAAACTGACATGACATTTAAAGTCAGGAGAAGAAAAGAAGAGCTAAACCTCGTACCAGTGGGTGCCCACATTACACACACTATATTGTCGAGAACACTACGAATTATTTGGAATTCAGAAACCAAAAAGGCTATCGATAAATCTTGAGTTGATGGCATCCATCCAGAGAATCTTCGCATGCCCGAATTGAACCACCCATCATCTCTAAGGGCAAGGCAAGAGCAGCAGTAGAAGTAGAAGAAGTAGAAGGGATAAGAGATTGGACCTGGCGATCTCGAGGCCGATGCCGCTGGTGGCGCCGGTGACGACGAAGGAGACGCCGTCGAGCGGGGGAAGCTCGAGCGGGTTGGAGAGGTTGCTGGCGGCGATGCGCTGGAAGAGGAACTCCCCCACGATTCCCATCCACCCCCGCCCCCACTCCAGCCACCCCAGCGCCTCCTTCCTCCCCTGCCCCTTCCCCTTCACCTCCGCCTCCTCTCCCCCTGACCCCATCTTGCCGTCCCCCTCCCCGTCAGCCGCCGCCACCGCCCGGCGCTGGCGCAGGTCACCGCCGGCCATCTCGAGCTCCGGCGACGAGGAGAAGCTGGAGATGAGGGGAGATCTGCAACTGCTGCACTACTAAACTAAAACAGCTTAGCTGTGCACTTTTGTCTCTCCTCTATCACCGCAATATGATTCCTTTCAAATTCCTTCCTTTTTTTTCCTTTTTATTTACAAGTATTTCATCTGAATATGTTCGTATCTAGATTTATTAACTGAAAAATGTCATTTCTTATTTTAAATTAGTTTTTTATGGGACGAGAGAGCAGTGATACATGTGGATTTGTAGAAAAGCTTTTTGTAGTTCATCTTTTGTTAAGGTGAAAAACAAATGACAATGACCACCAGTACACCACTAGCCACTGCTCAATTGATTTCTTTGGCCAGTCTCGTTCAGAGTGAACAAGAAAGAAAGCAATGGATTAGAGCCTTAAAAAACGAAAACAATGGATGGTACTGTACATAGGACTGAACATTAAATTTAGTGGTCCATGATGGAGCATATTTGGCTGTTAAAAAAAAAGAAAAAAAATACAAATTAAATTTAGTGGACTTTACTAATTTAATTTCGTGGTCCATGACGAAGCATATTAAAATCTAGTGGATTTGGCTGTTAAAAAATAAAAGAAAAAAATGTAGATTAAATTTAGTGGACTTCGCTACAAGAAAAAATAGGAAAAAATGTTTGGCTGTTAAAAAAATGAAAAGAAATGCAAACTAAATTTAGTGGACTTTGCTAATTTAAGATTTGGCAAAGAAAAACAAAATAAAAGAACATCAGTAAAAATGGTGTTACCCAGACTCGAACAGGAGACCTTAAGTGCATTAGGCTGCGTTCTTTCTCTCAACTTGGAGTGAGGTTTTTAGCTACGTAAAATGAGAAAGTTCATTAGCACGTAATTAATTAAATATTAATAATTATAAACTTGAAAAATAGATTTACTTGAATTTTTTAAACAATTTATATATAGATTTCTTTTGCCAAAACACAAACAATTTTTTTGAGGGAAATGAGTGCTTTATTGATTATGTAATAATATTACAATCTTACTTCAGAGCCTGCATCACACAAGACGAAGCATGGTCACGCCAAACCGCGCAATATGCGGTCCGTTTAGCAAGTTGAGTAAGTTCATCAGCAACCCTATTACATCCTCGTTTTCTATGATGAATGCGCACTTTTTAAAGACTTCTTATTACTAATTTTATCGACCGATTTAGAAACGTCCATCTTGATCTTTCCTCTACTTTGGTTGACATTCTTTCAATCGCCGTAGCACAAAAAATTTAACAGTTTTAAAAAACGTGTTAACGGAAAACAAGAAGTTGAAGTTTGAAGTTGAAGAAAAGAGACCTTAGACTGACGTAATAACCTACTATACCACGACACCAATTGATATTAAATATTTTATTCTATTTTTTTAACTCTAGTACTTGATTGAAAATCAGAGTAACTCTAATTCCAAAGTATCACACTGCCAAAATTAGCTGGCCCAAATTAGCCGTCTGCAAATGGCACGAGATTGCATGTTGCATGACAACCGTCCACTACTCACCCCACATCATGACCGCAAGAAAAAATTCCAAGTTATTTTTTTTAAAAAAGGAAAAAATGAATGAAAGAAGAAGAAACAACAGAATAACAAAACATCATTACTACTGATGGCCATTTTAATCAATCATTTTTTGGCATTACTCTAGTATAGTTGAGTAATTAACAATTTTTTCAAAAAAGTAGACACTTTAATTACTCACAGCCACTAATCACACAAGTTTGCGTCATCTCCCCCATCTCCGGGTCTCCGGGGCCGGACAGAGATCGACCCAGGGAAGAAGCTAGCCCTCGCCGCCGCCGCCGCCGCCATCGTCGTCGAGGACTCAATCAATCAACCAACCAACCAATCAATCAATCAAGATGATGGCGGCGGCGGCTGGGGAAGGGGAGGCGGAGGTGACGCGGGAGGTGATATCGGTGTCGACGGAGAAGGCGTTCGAGGGGAAGGCGCTGCCGGCGTGGTCGGAGCAGATCACGGTGAGGTCGCTGGTGGTGAGCGCGGTGCTGGGCACGTTCCTCAGCTTCATCGTCATGAAGCTCAACCTCACCTCGGGCATCGTCCCCTCCCTCAACGTCTCCGCGGGGCTCCTCGCCTTCTTCCTCATGAAGACGTGGACCAGCGCGCTCGAGCGGTGCGGCGTGTTCCCCAAGCCGTTCACCCGGCAGGAGAACACCGTCGTCCAGACCTGCGTCATCTCCTGCTCCAGCATCGCCTTCTCCGGCGGATTCGGCACCTACATCCTCGGCATGAGCAAGAAGATCGCCGAGGGCTTCGACGAGGCGGAGGCCAAGACCAGCATCAACGTCGAGGAGCCGTCGCTGGGCCGCCTCATCGCCTTCCTCTTCCTCGTCAGCTTCGTCGGCCTCTTCTCCATCGTGCCGCTCCGCAAGATCATGATTATCAGCTACAAGCTCACCTATCCCAGCGGCTCCGCCACCGCGCACCTCATCAACAGCTTCCACACGCCGCAGGGCGCGATCCAGGCGAAGCACCAGGTGTCCATCCTCTTCAAGTCGTTCGTCGGGAGCTTCCTCTGGTCGCTGTTCCAGTGGTTCTACGCCGCCGGCCCCGGGTGCGGGTTCAGCTCGTTCCCGACGTTCGGGATGGTGGCGTACAGCCGCCGATTCTACTTCGATTTCTCGGCGACCTACGTCGGCGTCGGCATGATCTGCCCCTACATTATCAACTTCTCGCTGCTCATCGGCTCCGTGGTGTCGTGGGGGATCATGTGGCCGTACATCGAGAGCAAGAAGGGGAGCTGGTACGACGCGGGGTTACCCAAGAGCAGCCTCCATGGGCTGAACGGGTACCAGGTGTTCATCTCCATCGCCATGATCGTCGGAGACGGGCTCTTCAACTTCTTCTCCATCGTGCTCCGCACCGCCTACGACCTCTACCTGAAGCGCCGCGGCGGCGCCAGCAAGCAGCCGCAGGAGACGCCGTTCGCCGGCGCCACGGGGACGGAGCGGCAGGTGCTCAGCTTCGACGACCGGAGGCGGACGCAGGTGTTCCTCAAGGACCAGATCCCGACGACGATCGCCGCGGCGGCGTACGTGCTCCTCGCCGCCATCTCGGTGGTCGCCATCCCGCACATCTTCCGGCAGCTGCGGCCCAAGCACGTGGTGTGGGCGTACGTGGTGGCGCCGCTCTTCGCCTTCTGCAACGCCTACGGCACGGGCCTCACCGATTGGTCCCTCTCCAGCAGCTACGGCAAGCTCGCCATCTTCATCTTCGGCGCGAACATCGGCGCCAAGGACGGCGGCGTCGTCGCGGGCCTCGCCGCCTGCGGCCTCATGATGGGCATCGTCTCCACCGCCTCCGACCTCGTCCAGGACTTCAAGACCGGATACCTCACGCTCACCTCACCCCGCTCCATGTTCGTCAGCCAGGTAAGTACTACCGGACAAAATTTTAATTCTACTCCTATATGGCACCCGTTATTTGTTTGCGACTTAAAATTACTATAGATTTTCTTAAAAGAATAGTAATATCAAGTGCAATAATGTAAGTGTATAAATAAACATGCAAGACTAAATTTAATTTACAACTAACGAAATCAGATAATGAATAGTACTTATACAATGCAGGTAAATTTTGTTATTTTTGTTTTTTATGTGTAGACCGAATCAAGACATGTATGTTTTTGTGGTGTCTTATACTATCATAATATATCTTGTCAAATTCTATGACCTTTTTATATAAACATTTAAACCGCATGTGTACACATTTAGGTGTAATTGCACCTAGCTGTAGCAAATAATTTTCATGTAAGTGTGTATCATGCATTGTCAAATACGAACTTTATTGTATCATGTACAATATATTGTGCTGCATGTACTAATCAATTTTAAGTTGTATCATAATAAGTTTTATGTAAGTACTATCATGCGTTGCAACGAACGAATTTTATCGTATCCTGTACATTAAGTTGCATGCACCAACCAATACTTGTTTTAAGTTTAAGGTGTGTGATGATGATTAGGTGCTGGGGACGGGGATGGGATGCATAATAAGCCCGATGGTGTTCTGGATGTTCTACAAGGCGAACAACATCGGGATGGAGGAAGGGTTCCCGGCGCCGTACGCCAAGATCTACCGGGGGATCGCCCTCCTGGGCGTGAACGGGTGGGACCAGCTCCCCCGCTACTGCCTCCGCTTCTGCCTCGCCTTCTTCCTCCTCGCCATCGCCATCTGCGCCCTCAAGGAGGTGGCCAAGCAGCGCGGGTGGTGGATCCAGGACTTCATCCCCAGCGCCCTCGGCATGGCCGTCCCTTTCTTCCTCGGCTCCTTCTTCACCATCGACATGTGCGTCGGCAGCCTCGTCCTCTTCCTCTGGTCCCGCAGCGACCCCGTCCGCGCCCACACCTTCGCCCCCGCCGTCGCCTCCGGCCTCATCTGCGGCGACGGCATCTGGTCGCTGCCCTCCTCCATCCTCTCGCTCGCCAACGTCAACCCGCCCATGTGCATGCGCGTCTTCTCCACCGCCACCAACGACAAGGTCCAGCTCTTCCTCAGGACGCTGCCCACGCCGCCATGATCCATCCATCCACTTCAAGCTCAAGCTAGCCTTCCATCGATCTTGCCACGCGTACGTGTAGGTTGATTAATTAGTTCTTTAGTGATTATACTTAATTAATTAATTGTCGATTGGTTTATATATATTAGCCTTGTAATGTAAGTGTAGAAGAGAAGCAGCTGGTGTAGCATACATATGTACTCTCTCTCTCTCTCTTTACTGATTGGTTCTTAAATTCATTTGTTATACTTCACATGTACAAATTAAGGCCTTGGATGGATATATGTCCATGTAAAAGATTGATAGCATGCGTGCTTTGCATATTCATGATCAATTGTGAGACCAACTGCAATGGCAAATGGAAGTGGGACACTGACTTCACTCGTTTATTGCATGTCAAATAAATTGTTATAATCTTTTTAAAAGAATGACAAGATAGATTAATATGTAAATAGCATATTCAAAGTCAATTTTAATTTTTTTTACAATATAAATAGTCGAATTTGAATTTGTGGAGTGATATGTTACATACTCTCTCCGTTTTACATTATAAGTCATTTTTTTTCTAGTCAAACTTCTTTGAGTTTGATCAAGTTATATATAAAAAATATAGTACTATTTTCAACACAAAACAAATATATTGTTAAAATATATTCAATGTTAGATTTAATAAAACTAATTTAATATTTTAGATGTCTACTAATTTTTTCTATAAACTTGGTCAAACTTAATAAAGTTTGATTAGAAAAAAAATCATACTAATAATCTATTTTTTCAATATTTTTGAAGTTTTTTATAACTAATGAATTGACATGCAATGAATGAGTGAACAACCACTCAAGTGATTAAAAGTGTTTTCCCTCCTTTGATTCTTAGGCCCTGTTTAGATCCTCCAAAATAGCAAAAGTTTTCTGTTTTAGAAGCACTTTTGGTCAAAATGGATCTAAATACTGGTAGCAAAAGTTGGTAATTTGGCATTTGTCATTTGGGAGTCTAGAGTAGCAAATTTTGCTAAATAGTGCGTTGGGAGCCGTGCTCTCTCTCTTTACTAGTAAAATGACACATGCATCTAAACACCAACTAGCAAAACTTCAATACCAAAATTTTTGCCACAAAAACTTTTGCCAAAAAATTCTGCCACAGCAAATTGATCTAAACATGCCCTTAAATTCATTCATTTGTTTCTTGATACAATTAAATGTATAAATAAGGCGTTTGATGTCTGTCCATGTAAAAAAGATGGGTAGCATGCGTGCTTGCATATTCGTTGTCTGTCTGACTGACTGGTCAGTTGTGAAACTCTCTGCAATGTTCCTGTACTGTAGCTAGAAATTAACATTTTATCAGGTTTATTTAACAGTTACAGTACTAGTAATCTATGTGGACTCCAGTTTATCAAAGCAAACTTCTGGGTTCTGCCAAAATCAGTGCACGCATTCTCATATTGAACCATGGACTCAGTGAGGCAACTGTTGATAGAGGAGATCAAACTGTGTTTATAGACTGAACTGAAACTTGATTATACAGTTTGCCACGACTCCTAACTCAAGCCCCTATGACGTGGATACATATGTACAAAAGTTTTGACACCTGAGAAAATGATCTAGTTTCCCTACATGGATAGCTAGCTAGTAGCTATCTCATGTCATGGAGTGTTGCCAAGAAGGCGTCCAACTTGACATTGTCACCTCGAGACAAGAACTTGATGCAGATGGGCGCCCTGGCACCCATGAGTGTCAGCATGGACAGCAAGATCGAGCCGACGCCGTCGCCGCAGATGAGCCCCGACGCCAGCGCCGGCGAGAGCATCCGCCCGCGGCCGGCGTCCATCTTCTCCCACAGGTACGCCACCAGGCTGCCGATGCACATGCCGACGGGCACGCGCGGCGGCATGAAGAAGGTGATGGCCATGCCGATGGTGCTCGGGATGTAGCGCCGGATGCGCCACTCCTTCCGGCTCGCCACCTCCCGGAACACGCTGAGCGCCAGGGCGAGCACGAAGAAGACCTTGAAGAGGAGCATGCTGTGCCTGGGCAGGCCTTGCTCGCCGTCGCCGACGCTGAGCATGGCGAAGCCGCGGTAGAGCTTGGCGTAGGGCATGTCGCCCATGTCGCCGCTGCCCATCTTGTACACCCTGTAGAACACCCAGAACACGGTGGGGTTGACGACGCATCCCAGCGCCGTGCCGATCGCCTCGCTGATGAACACGGCGCGCGGCGACGTCAGCGTCAGGTAGCCCGTCTTGAGGTCCTGCGCGACGTCGGCCGCGTTGCCCAGGATCGACATGGTGATCCCGCCGGCGACCAGGGCGGCGACCACGCCGCCGCTCTTGATGCCGACCCACGAGCCGAACGCGAACATGGCGATCTTGCAATAGGTGCTAGCCAGGTTCATGTCGGTGACGCCGAAGCCGTAGGCGTTGCAGAAGGCGAAGACGGGCGCGGCGAGGTAGATGAGCGCAACATGGCTGTACCTCATCTGTGGGTAGAGGTGAGGGATGGCGGCGATGGAGATGATCGACAGGAGGACATAGCAGCCAATGGTGACCGAGTCCGGTATCTCGTCCCGGAGGAACACCTGCGCCCTGCGGCGATCATCGAAGCTCTTCACCGGCTGATCGGCGATGTCGATACCCTGGAATGGCTGCGCATTACCGCCACCACCTTGCATTGCCTGCCGACGCCGCTTGATCATGGCACATGTTGTCCGGACCATGATGCAGAGGAAGACGAAGAGGCAGTCAGCCATTATCATGGACAAGCCGATGAACACCTTGTAACCTCTGATGCCGTTAAGGCTGTTGGGCCCAAGGTTGCTTGGGTACCAGATGCCCTCCTTTGACTCGATGTACGGCCAAATTACACCGCACGAGATGATGGTGCCAATGAAAACGGAGAACACGATCATGTACGGGCACATCATGCCAATGCCGACATTGGCCATGGTGAAATCGAAGAAGAATCTGATAAAAGGGAACAAAATTAGTTTCCCAATCAACCACTACGCTAGCTGATGAATTCCATCCATGCATGTCTGATTGCGTACCCGTGTTTATATGCCTCGAGGCCAAATGTGGGGAAGAATTTGAAGCCACAGCCCGGCCCAGAGGCGAAGAACCACTGGAAGAGCGACCATGCGATGGTTCCTCCAAACGATTTAAACAATAATGTCACTTGCTTCCTGCAAACACAAATAGTCAATTTGATTGTGTAATCTAAGGCTTCGAATAGTACTTGATCCAACAGAAACATTTCCATGTAAAGTTTAATTGATGATACCTTGCTTGCTTGACACCTTGAGGTGTATGGAAGCTATTGATGAGGTGCGCCGTTGCTGTGCCGCTGGGGAATGTCAACCGGTGCCTAATGATCATGACCTTCCTGAAGGGCATGATGATGAACATGCCAGCAAAGCTGATAAGGAAGAGGAAGGTGATCATCCTGGCAAAGCTTGGCTCCTCAACGTTATTTTGGGCATTGACATCCCCTACAGCTGCTTTCTTTCCCATTGCAAGAATATATGTCCCAAAGCCACCTATGTAAGGAAGTACGGTTATAGTAAAGATAAACATAAAATAGTGCACACAATTCTATCAACTACTATTTTCAGATTGTCTATATACCGGTGAATGTGATCGAGGTGCATGCGACGACACAGGTCTGGATGATGGTGTTCTCTTGGCGTGTGAATGGTAGTTGTGCCACTGCGAAGTAGTCAAGAATGCGGATCGACGCACGGGATACACAAAAACCGAGGAGGCCGGCTGGGATGCTGAACGACGGAATGAAGCCAGAGCTCAAGGTGACCTTCATGGCGACGATGCTGAGAGTTACACTAAGGATGAAGCTCACCACCATTGATCGTGGCGTTATTGTTTCCGACAATGATGGCACAGGCTCTGCCTCAAAGGCATGCTCTGTTGAAATGCCTTCCTGGAAATCATTGACAGGCTCCATTGTATTGTAGGGAAACTATATATATGTATCCTTTGAGGCTAGGAAACCTTTGTTATTATTTGATTCTGTGTGTATGTCTTGGTTTTTGCAACCAAGACACACACACAGAATCAAAATGCTGGCAGCAATGGAAGAAGGGACTTGGGGAGGCCTTTTATAGAGAGCTAGGCAGTCAGTTACCAGCCAATTCTTTCCAAATATAGTTTATTTGTCTGGTCTTAATTTTGTCAATGTTTTATTTTTTCAGTGTTTAATCTATAACATGCACATGCAGATGTTTATTAATAGTACCATGAACCAAATAAAGAGCAATGAGCTCACGCAAAGAAAAGGAAATGAGTGTTGTGGAACTAAAAATAGTAGTAAAGAAGAAATAGAGTGAAACTGAAAAAACTCTACCATCCACCTTGCAATGTCCATAAATTACCTGTTACAAAAGTGACTGGTTCTGATTCTTGACCAATAGCGCACACACCAAACATGTAGCTTCTTCATCCCTACAAACCTCATCATTCTTGTCCAATTTCAGACTAAAGATCAATTTCTTGAACACGTTACCAGGGTGATCTACAAGAGAGATGATAAGGGCACAACTGCAAAGGGGAAAAAGCTTGGAGTCAGCGAGTGATCTGATAGAGAGTTCATTGACAGAGCATGCATTTGAAGGGGAACCAATTCCATCATAGACGGAGAAGATCACCGTGCAGTTGGTGGTGGCAAGGCGCTACCAGTCATCATTAATATGAATCCCGTATTCATGTCTGAGATGGCGGCATCGTTGAACATCCCAGCAAGCCATGCTGAGCCTCTTCTTCCTCAAGATATGAACACCGAGGCTACAACAATTCAATGTGTTCAAGAGGCCTTTCATCTGCTAGCAGAGCACCATCATCAAAGTTCCAAACATGTATAGTTGCCTATGCAAGCATCAAGTGGTGAATAGATGAACACAAATAGCTTGTTTCACTACGAGTACAAGAGGGGCAGATCTACAGTAGTATCACCGGGGTCAGATGACCTCGATGCCCTCCAGCCGACCTAGTGTGTTCACCAGTATTCTATATGCAGTGACCCTAGCAGCCAAAGCTTACTAGCCCCAGCGTGTTGAACTGCAGCAACTTACGAGCATAGTTCATTTATTTGAAAATTAATTACATAATTCAATTGGTATCAGAAATAGTAAGCCCGTTTCCCAGTAGTTGCTAGGGGCTTTGGCGTAGTCAGTCCACCACCAATACCACAGCTTAACATATATATTTGGTCAGTTAACCAATTAGCTAATTATATAGCTATGTAGTGGGTCTATGTATGCATTAGGCTACCGTTATTCTAATCAACTACTAGATGTCAAGCTTTTTTTAAGTTCGCAAATAACTTTGACAATTTGAAAACTTGCTTGTGTGGTTGAAAGAATTAAGTTTTGTTACATAGCTCCAAGCCCCCCAACTCTTGAATTAGTGCAAAATATAGAGTTTATCGTCTGAAATAAAAGTGAGTTAAACATTTATTTTAGTTCAAATGAAGAGAGCTCACTGAAACAAGAACTCATGGCCCTAACTCCAAACTTTTGGAGCTTAAAATACATAGCTTAAAAAAAAAGAAGAACCAACAAAGACAACAGTATTATAGAACCCCGGTGGCTCAGAATCATGGTTCCGCACATAAGGAAATAACAGCAGTCACTATGCATAACCAGGTAAAGAATAAGTAAATCATCATCGCTGATGTGTTGGCCCTCTTCATAGCCTTTTACAATGCCAATGGTGCTGGCATCACATATCTGAACCACTATGTTCTAATATACCAAGATTGTCTAACTTGACAGGCACCGTGATACTTGGGTTCTTGATATAACTGGTGGAAATGGCGAGGTAATTGGAAGTTTCTACAATCCACATCACACCCCAGGTGGTAGGTTGCATCTATCAACCCTGTAAATTTCTGGGTTCTCTACAGATTCAACCATGATAACCCTAGTCCTACAGGAAGCTATGACAAGTACAACACAAATCACCAAGGTCTACTGCACCATAGCCATGCCACTGCTGGATCCCAACACTACCCAACGCCGGAGAGGAAATTTTAAGGCTGCATTTTGAGTGTCCCTTGTTGCTTTCCATCCCTAACTACTAGAGCTAGATCCACCAAGCTACTGTAAACATCAACAATGGCAGTAACAAACAGGAGCCGAAACGCACGGCGGCGATAGATAGATAGGGAGATAGAGGTTTCCTCACCGCTGCCTGTGCGCACGCCGCCGCCTCGCCGTCGTGCGAACTCCGGCGAGAATGGCATCGCCGGCGGAAAGCAACAAGGAGGAGGCGTGTCCGCGTGTGGGGGCCACCTGTCATCGAGCCAGAGGAGAAGAGCGTCACGAGTGGGCCAGCAATGTCAGCCCATCAGTACAGGCCCAACTTAAAAATTGCTCGGCCCATTTTCGGCCTGCGAAAAAGCCCACCCACCCAGGCTCTAGGGTTTCGGCGCGACCGCTTATGAAGGCGAGGAGGAACCAAGAGCCCCAGTCCTCACTCCCCGCCGCCGCCGCCGCCGCTCCATCCTCCTCACGGAGAAGCGCGGGAAATCACACCTCGTCGCAGCCAAGATCTCCTCCAGTCCAAACGCATCAAAGATTCCAAGGTGGGCATCCAATCCTCGCTTGCAAACACAACCACCATGCCCAAAACCGATGCCTACTTAGGAGTTAGGAATATGTTTCTTCGATTTGGTTATCGCGTTGGTAATTCTTCGCTTTCGATTTGAGCAGTTAAAAGCATGAGATAGTATTAACCAAATCGATCCTGATCTGTGCGTTTAGATTCTGGGCTTGTGGTCAGTGTTCGTTGAAACAGCACGAAATTGTTAATAGTCTAAGCAGTGTGGATGTCGTATGAGTTAATTGTAGCTTTTTTTCCTAGTAATTTTAGCTCTAATTCCAGGTTGTGCTGTTCGGGAGAGCTTCTTGCGTTGAGGAGAGGGGGGATGAATAGAAGCGTTTGCCACCACCTTCTCACCCAGTGCAAAACCATAAGAGAGCTCCAAAGAATCCACGCCCAGGCCCTCACACACGGCCTCCACCCCAACCAGCAGTCCATCTCCTGCAAAATCTTCCGGTCCTATGCCGAGTTTGGCCGACCGGCTGACGCAGGCAGGTTGTTTGATGAAATCCCCCACCCTGACATTATCTCCTTCACCAGCCTCATGTCCCTTCATCTCAAGTTAGATCACCACTGGAAAGCTATATCCGTGTTCTCTCACGCCATTGCTTCTGGCCACCGCCCTGATGGCTTTGCTGCTGTCGGTGCCCTCTCGGCCTCTGGTGGATTAGGGGATCAGCGTATTGGTAGCGTGGTGCATGGCCTGATTTTTCGGTGTGGATTGGACTCTGAGTTGGTCGTTTGTAATGCTTTGGTTGATATGTATTGTCGATGTGGCAAGTTTGAGCCTGCACGGACTGTATTTGATAGAATGCTTGTAAAAGATGAGGTCACTTGGGGTAGCATGCTGTATGGTTACATGAAGTGTGTTGGTGTGGATTCAGCTTTGTCATTCTTTTATCAGATGCCTATGAAGAGCACTGTTTCTTGGACAGCACTGATCACTGGTCATGTTCAAGACAAGCAGCCTATCCAAGCTCTTGAGCTATTTGGTAAGATGCTTTTGGAGGGCCACCGTCCTAACCATATTACAATTGTAGGGGTGCTATCAGCTTGTGCTGATATTGGTGCTTTGGATCTTGGACGTGCCATTCATGGATATGGAAGCAAATCTAATGCCACCACCAATATAATTGTTACAAATGCTCTGATGGATATGTATGCAAAGAGTGGAAGCATTGCTAGTGCATTTTCTGTATTTGAAGAAGTTCAGATGAAGGACGCATTCACATGGACAACTATGATTTCAAGTTTCACTGTCCAGGGTAATGGGAGGAAAGCTGTTGAGCTCTTTTGGGATATGCTAAGGTCTGGGATACTTCCAAACAGTGTGACATTCGTCTCAGTTTTGTCAGCATGCAGCCATGCTGGGTTAATACAAGAAGGCAGAGAGTTATTTGATAAAATGCGTGAAGTCTACCATATTGATCCCCGGCTTGAGCACTATGGATGCATGGTTGATCTGTTAGGACGGGGTGGACTTCTAGAAGAAGCAGAAGCTCTGATAGATCATATGGATGTCGAGCCTGATATTGTTATTTGGAGGTCACTTCTTAGTGCATGCCTAGCTCATGGCAATGATAGATTAGCTGAGATTGCTGGAATGGAAATTATAAAGAGAGAACCTGGGGATGATGGGGTTTATGTGCTTCTTTGGAACATGTATGCCTTATCAAACAGATGGAAAGAAGCTTTGGATATGAGGAAGCAGATGTTGAGTAGGAAAATATACAAAAAACCGGGTTGCAGTTGGATTGAAGTTGATGGTGTCGTCCATGAATTTTTGGTAGAGGACAAGACACATGATGCTAGAAGGGAAATTTATGTCACCTTGGAAATCATGGCTAGGCATCTCAAGATGGATCCCATACCATCTCCATTAGTGTTAACTGATGGAGAACACATGCTCTAGAAACACATATTGTCCTTTTTTTTTCTTTCCTTTGATGACCTCTAACCGAACTGAGGATGATATGCTGATATTTTTTTCTTTTTGTTAGTGACAAGGCACCATAGTTTTGTTTTGATTTGTTTGATTAACCAATTAGTGATAGCCAGTTGTAACACACTGATGTTATTTCATTGAAAATGCAGAATTGTAGAGATTTATTTTAGATGTCGACCTGCAGATATGCTATACCTGTATTTTGTTTGGTCACTCTGTCAAAAAAAGAGTAAAGACTGCAATGCGTCCCAGTTCATGTTATGGACTTCTCCTCATTTTACAGCTATCTTGCTGACTACATCGCTACCTCTGAATGTTTTACTTGTTTACTTTTTTTTATATATAAATGACTTATTTATGTGTGCCGAATTTCTAACTATCTGATTTGCCTACTATTAGATGTGCTCTGGAGATGATATTGATGGAGACATGAGGGTTGAAGCAACACAACACAGGGATATAAGGCGCTACAAGTGTGAATTTTGCACGGTTGTTAGGTCCAAAAAATGTCTCATCCGAGCTCACATGGTTGCTCATCATAAGGTATAAAACTACTTAGATATTTTAGGAATATGGGCCATATTATGCCTTATGTTTTAAAGACAATGTGGACTGTATTAATTAAATTGAGTTATTTGACCGTTATGGTTCTCTGATTGGAGTTTAGGTCCATCAATCAATATATTTGTGCTTTTGTCAATTCCTTCTGCTCTTATCCATTTGAATCATTATATGAATATCTGATGCCCTCACTTCAAATTTATCTATAGGAAGAACTGGACAAATCGGAAATCTACAAGTCAAATGGGGAAAAGGTTGTTCATGAAGGTGACCACACCTGCCAAGAGTGTGGTGCTTCTTTCCAGAAGCCAGCTCATCTGAAGCAGCATATGCAAAGTCACTCTGATGAGGTTGGCATTTCTCATATGTGCATACAACATGATATTGCTTTTTTGTTGGAATGGTGCTGGGATTAGTTTTTTTGGAAACATTTAAACATAACATTCTTGTATGGTTTTTCTCCGTCCGCTGATCTGGTTGTCAAAGAAATTGTTCTTATCTACTTCAATTTGCTAAAAACAAGTGTTTTGCAGGATATAGATTCTTAACTGTGTGAAGCATTGGATCCCAAAGAACTCCAAAATGCGATGAGGCATATTTAATCTTGTCTGGACTAGTAACAGGTTGGGATGACCACCTGTGAAGCTCCAACAGGATTGCCTCCTCACGCTCTTTCAGGAGGTTTGTCCTTGCTTGTATTAGTTCTTTTCTTTTTTACTATTTTGATTATTATTCAACTTCATGGGATAGCCTGCATCTCCTTGTTTCCAATTAAGTACTAATGTCTCCTTTGTTGTATGCACATGTGCTGGAATTCATTGTTTATCAATTTGCCTTGTGGTATGCTATACATGATATCTTTAATTTTTATTAGTAACAAGGTTTTTTACAGCATACATATACATAAATAGTGTTTTTTTACAGCATGCATAAATGGTGAAAACTGATTACTGCTTAATTATTGACTAGTTGCTGGCTATTTTACATTTTTTTGATATTGCAAATCTTGTGAAATGGATCCATGCAGTGAATTTGGGAGGTTATCTTCTCCTTTGTTCTAATGTTCTCTCTCACTCTCTTTGGGCTTCTGGAACCTGGTTTTGGAGGTCCTTAGTTGGAACAAAGAGGGGATCCAAGATCAAAATACCATCTCAGAAAGCTAGGGCCTTCTGTAATAGGTTCATTTAGCTCGCTATGGTGTTGATATCTCCATCATATACAAAACTACAATATGTTCCGTTGCAAATTATATATGAATTGTTTTAGCTGATAAACACCTGTGCACAACTTTTTGCTGATAAATAGTACTACTTCTATTTCAGGTTATAAGATGTTTTGACTTTGGTCAAAGTCAAACTGCTTTAGGTTTGACTTAGTTTGTAGAAAAAAATAATAACATTTTCAACCCAAGACAAATTTATTATGAAAATATATTAAATTATTGATTTAATGAAACTAATTTGGTATTATAAATATTACTATATTTGCCTATAAAATTATTCAAACTTGAAGTAGTCTGACTTTGACTAAAGTCAAAACTTCTTATAACCTGAAACGGAGGGAGTAGGCATTGAATAGAATAGGTTATGGATCCTTTGGAGAATAAGGTTAGCAAATATCCTTCATTCATCCTACTATTTCTTTGGATCTCCTTTTGGGAGCTTTGAGAAGAGGTGAGAGGATCCAACATCAAAATGTCACCTCAGAAAGCTAGGACTATTCATCATTGGTTCTCAGCTCGCTATGGTGATTATACTCCCTTTTATCTCTATCATCTTAATGGAAAACACTGAACATTTAGGTATTCGTTGCATATTCCGTTAACCAGTTTACTAGATAATTTATTTTAGATAATTTATAAGTATGAAAGAAATGTGTAAGCTTACAGCAGCTTCAGTTTTGACTCGTTCCCTTCTTGACTGTAGAGATCGTTCATTTGCCCACTTGAAGACTGCCCTTTCAGCTACATTAGGAAAGATCACTTGAACCGTCATATGCTTAAGCATCAAGGGAAGTTGTTTACCTGCTCTATGGATGGTTGTGGTAGGAAGTTCAGTATAAAGGCAAATATGCAAAGGCATGTAAAGGAAATCCATGAGGATGAAACTGCTACTAAAAGCAACCGGCAGTTTGTTTGCAAGGAGGAGGGCTGTAACAAGGTTTTCAAGTATGCTTCAAAGATGAAGAAACATGAAGAATCACATGGTATCTCCTCAGTTACTTATAGTAGATCAGGCGCTGCCTTGTAAATTTCAGAACTAAAAAACTGCAGCTCAATCCATGCATTATATAATTAATCATGCTAATGGTATCCCCAGAATTAAATTAATTTGTGCTGTTCTGGCAGTGAAATTGGACTACGTGGAAGTAGTCTGCTGTGAACCAGGCTGCATGAAGACATTCACAAATGTTGAATGTTTGAGGGCTCATAATCAGGCTTGCCATCAATATGTTCAGTGTGATATCTGTGGGGAAAAACACCTGAAGAAGAACATTAAAAGGCACCTACGAGCCCATGAGGAGGTGCCATCTACTGAAAGGATAAAATGCAGTTTTGAGGGCTGTGAATGCTCTTTTTCCAATGTAAGTCTATTATCCCCAAATGTTCTGATGCATTGTTTGTTGTCTTCCTCTTGAACTGTAGCTTTAGTCGTATCTGGTGTGGATTGAAACTTGTTACCTGTCCCTCCTATTGCAGAAATCAAATTTAACCAAACATATAAAGGCGTCCCATGATCAAGTAAAACCTTTCGCATGTCGATTCACGGGGTGTGAAAAGGTGTTTCCATACAAGCATGTCAGGGACAACCATGAGAAATCCAGCGCTCATGTATACACTCAGGTGAGTTTTGCTAACCGATCTTTAGCTCTTCTGCGCGCGTCTTGTGCTTGCCCAAATCATTTGAGTGACAAACTGACAAGCTTTAACCACATCCAGGCAAACTTCACGGAGATGGACGAGCAGTTACTCTCGTGTCCGAGAGGTGGACGGAAGAGGAAAGCTGTGACTGTCGAAACTCTTACGCGCAAGAGGGTGACCATGCACGGCGACGCTTCGTCGTTGGACAATGGAACTGAGTACCTGCGCTGGTTGCTTTCTGGTGGGGATGATGATTCGAGCCAAACTCATTAGCCGTATCATCTTTGCATCTGATTGTGATGGTCATGGTGTCAATGGCTCAATGCTTTGTCGTAAAGGGGTGTGCTAGCCCACTCACGTTGGTAGTTAGATGGCCGTGGTGTTTTTGTTGTAAGTAGTTGGTCTGAATTTAGAAAGTGCAGCAGTTTTAGAGGAAGCCTACTAGTAGTATATATTTGTAGCATAATGGCGCAGTTTGAGTTGTGAGTTGTAAGTATTTTGATTCTTTACTGTTTTGACCACTGTTCTTGGAACCTCAAAATTATTTGACTTGTTGAATGCAAAAAATGATGTGATTACAAGTTTTGGTTCTTCTTGAAAAGGTTGTACCTGAAGCAATTGTTCCGACTTGTGCAAAAATAACTGTATTTGTCATGAGCATGTTTTTGTTTGGAAGTAATATCTTGTTGGATGGTCAAAAGAAGAGTCACATTTTCTGAAGTCGTAATGACAAATTGGGTCGACAGATGTCTACTTAAACTTGCGTCGTGTACTGCTGTTCGATGGGCAATGTCGACCTCAATTCGTTCGGTACCTGTCACGCCCAGAAATTCCTGAATAGAATTCAAGCAGAATGTGCATTAAAATCCCCGTCCAGGACCGGCCGGGGTACACAAACGACAATGTTGACATTCAGATCCACGTCTTACAAACATCATAAAAGTCTTACATAAATGCAGCGGAAAAACGAAAGACAACAGGAGCTAAGCCTTGACTAGAACTGTAGCGGGAACACCACTCCACAGGCATCCTCGACGGCACGGACGAAGCCTACTCCTCGGAGAAACCTTCATCTGACACATACTCGTGCTCTGGGGTTGGGAAAAATAGAGCAAGACTGAGTACTACCCACTGTACTCAGCAAGTCATACCGGAATAGGGGTATGATGCAGGGAATTATCAAAGAAGAGCTAGAGTGGTTCATTTGCATAAAACGAGCATTTATAAACAGAAGTTGAAAGATTTAAACAGTTGTAATAATTAATTAGTATTGACTATCCACTGTCCAACGCCATCCCACGTTGCAACAGGCCCAACCATCCACCCAAACTATCCAAATTCAAAAGATTACACTAGGGTGAGACTAATCACGGTGAATCTGGTTGACCGCCCATAACCGCGGGCACGACTATTCGAATAGTTTTACTCTGATCAGAGGTGTACAACTGTACCCACAAGACACAGCCCCACGACACGTTTCCGTGCGCCGACATGCCACCACGACATACCGGAAAGAGGCCATGACAGGACCTTTCGCATAACCCCCTCTAACCAAGCACACCACACCTCAGGTTTCACCCCCACTCCTCGCAAGGCAGCGGGCAGTCCCCTCTCGTGCCTAGGTGAATCCGGAAGCCGCATAGGCCGTCGCAGGGCCCATCCAAACTCCATCACGCCCACCCTTGCCTGGATGCGTCGGCTAGAGGAAAGCTACACTACAAGCCCAGCCGTTGCCCACGCTGGCTTGTGGTAAGTACGATAAGTTCTTCCAGGGCATCCCGCGAACCGGTCCTTAACTGCCATGGGTGCGACCAGCAAAACCATGCACCCACAGCCCACCATGTGATTTATTTTAATTAACCAGCACCAAAGCGGTGGCACTAATCCAACAAAACCATTAGAACCAACAGTCTAAACATTAATAAGATCTTCCCCATTGAACTAGTTGAACTAAGCATGGCTAAGCAATCCCTAGTCCAAACTCTAATCATGTTATAACCCCAAGCTGACAAAGGGACAAGGTACAACAATAGCATGGCTATGACAATAGGTAAACATCCCCTAGAAACATTATAAAACAATGCAGTATTTGAAAGAAAACAATAGAGCATTTGCAATATAGGATCAACATGTTCAAGTGACAAGCATGACTTGCCTTGCTCTGCTGCTGGAGGAACCTCGGCGACTATTTCGAAGTACACCGGAGCGTCGGAGGAACCGGAATCTAGCGACATACAAAGCAAACATTGCAAACAGGCTATAAGACTACTGAAACAGGGAACAAAACCATTTTTAATGGATTCTACACATTTTTCTTGATTTACTGAGACTTGAATGGGCTGAAACGGAGCTCGGATGAATTAGTTATGAATTTTAGAAGATTCACTGTGTTTATTACTATAACAAAATCCTTAAATAATTTATTGCGCAATATTTTCCAGGGCTGACGTCAGCACGGGGGAAAGCGGCGCCGACATGCGGGGCCCACCGGTCAGCGGCTCGGGAGAGGGAGGAAGGGGCGCCGGCACGCGGGGCCCACCGGTCAGCGACTCAAGGGGGAGGGCGGTTCACCGTGGACCAGGACCACGCGGGTGGTCCACCGCCGGTCCACGGAACCGACGGCCCAGATCGCCCTCGGGGCCGATCGGACGGGCGGCGATGGAGGCGGCCGCCGGGCTCGGCTCGGCATCAAAGCCGACCGGCCGGCCAGGGCTAGCGGTGACGGCACGCGGCCGACGACGGCGGCGACCGGCGGCATGGGAGGCGGTGGCGGCGGCCGAAGGCGACGGCGCGCGACTTGAAGCGGCGGCGCGGCACTAGGAGGAGAGGAAAGGGAAAAGAGGGGAGGGATGCCTCACCGAGGGTGGCCGGCGCGGAGGAAGACGATGGCGAACGGCGACGGCAAGCCACGGGAGGACGACGGCAACCGGCGGACGAGCTTCGGGGTGCCCTAAGGAAGGAGAAGAGAGAGATTAGAGGGGGGAAGATGAACCACGGCGACCGGCATTCATGGCCGAAGGCGGCGGCAGCGGTTGAACTCACCGGAGCGCGAGGGGATGCGAATTCCGGTGACGAAACTCGACGAGGAAGGGGCGGCCGGGGTGGAGCTTAGCCTCGCGAACCCGACGACTGCGACGGCGCGGTGCGGCGGCGACCCTAGCGGCGGCTAGCGGCGGCCGGAGTGGCGGAAACGGCGGCGGCAAGAGGTTGCACGGCGCGGGAGCGATGGGAGGCTCGGGAGAGTTCGGCGAAATGGGGAAAAAGCGAGAGGGGGCGACGGAGGAGCTTAAATAGGGAGAGAGGGGGCCGGACGTGGCCGGGAGAGGCGGGAATCGCTGGCCGACGTGGGGGAGTGGGGGAGGAGAGAGAGGCGGGATTCGAAAATCGAATCCCGGCCATCTCGGGCGCGGGCGCGGGCGCGAGAGAGAGGGGAGTGGGCGCGGGAGATGCGGCGCACACGCGGACGTGGCTGACGTGGCCCGGAGAAGGCGGAGGCATGGGCGCGGCGGCGCCGGCTGGAGGGAGGGGACGGGAGGTTGGGGGAGGACCCGACAGGTGGGCCCCACCTGTCGGCGACCTCGGGAGAGGAGGGCGGCGGGGCGGCCTGGCTGGGCCTCGGCCTGCGGCCGGCCCAGCAGGGAGGAGGGGGAGGAAAGGAGAGAATGGGCCAGCGGCCCATTCGAAAAAGGGAGGGAAAAAGAAAAAGAAAAAGGAAAAAAAGGATTTTCCCTGGAATTAAAATATTGCTTGCTCAATTTTAATTGGTTAAAATTATTTCTAGGGCTCTGAAAATTTCACTAAAAATTCTGTTAGTGAATTTCGACATGTAGAACTCAAGAAAAATTCCACATTCCCATTCCGATTATTACTTGCATTGATTTAAAAGGGGTTTACTCTTGCTTTGCACCGGTATTTTCTTAGGGTCATTTATAAATTAAATTTAGGCTTGGGAGGAGAACTTCGGGGTGTGACAGTACCAAAGAGCCTACTTGATTGATGATTACTTGTTGGTTTCCAAACTCTTTCCAACAAAAGATTATGATTTGGATTACGAGAATATCCATTGCCCATGAATGCAGCAGTACCGAAGGGCCTTGTTGTTTGACAATTACTTGCTGCTTGCTTTTTTCTTGCTAACATATCAAGATGATAAATCAGACAGAGCATGGCAGAAACATCTTTCCCACAAGCACCAAGAAAGTGAAAAAGGATGACGTAAATATAAATGTTTTCAATGAGAAAGCATACTTCTAGCATCTTTCTTTTTAATACTAGCAAAATGCCCTTGTCGATATATGTAATTTACCTTTTTTTCTTCTATCCATTTATATAATTTTGGAATTTGATCCACATGGATTGTAAATATATAATATATAATTCTCTTAACTTAATGACTTTCTTATAGAGCCACTGGGAACTGTTTATGTGAAAAGCCGCCCACATACCAAATCGCTTCACAAAAGTAACAAAAAGTAAAGGTAGAAATAAGTAACACAAACCTTTATCATGTAACTCTCTATCAGATGTTTTGTAAAATTGCAGTCATAGGGACGGCTTCAAGAATAAGAGAAAGAATAATACATGATCAAGAAAACTAAATGCAGAATCATTGCAAAAAAAAAGAGCAATACAGGTTTCTCGCATCAATGCCTTCTCTAGTGAGGCAAAACCCAAAATCCTTAAGAATAGATGAAACATGCTCAAGGACCTCGACATTGGGAACTGCATGACATTTATGCCTTTGTATAAGATAAATGAAAAAGGAAACGGGAGAATTCAATACATATATCATATAGACACATTTAATATATCATGCAATATCATTCATCATATAACCAATGGTTTCCAGGAGAGGGTGAAAAGAATGAATTTAAAGAAAATTGTGACAATACCATACGAGTTGGTACTTGGTAGGCAATAGAACAGTTTGCTAACATAGTTACAGGGTTACAATCACATCGAATGGAAGCGTATTGGGTTTCATGAAGTATGCCTTGTCTCGGCTTTCTGAACTGGAATCTAGAAGCATCAAAAGGTATGGATCATGAATCACAACGCACTCATGTATTTAAATTGAATCTTTGGTTATTCAATAATTCGAATTTCAGTTTTTACAAATGCAATGGATTTCATACAATATTAAGAAAAATGGACAATAGCATCTAAATGCACCTGATTTGTTTTGTTTGATTTTCTTGCAAATGAAGGCAACAAATTACGTCATACTTTCTAACACTAAAAAAGAACACAAAGATTTCAATAAGTTGCAGCAATAGCTAGCAGGATGAAATTTCTCGCACTAGTAAAAAAAAATCATATTCTAAATTTGTGGGGTACACGGTACCCGGGTAACCAAGGAGAGGCCCTTGGGCCACGTGGCATAGGGTGGGCCAAGAGCCCTAGGCTACTTGTAAATTAAGTAAGAGATATTCCCAGGATAAGATATAAATCCCAAGGATCATGCATATCTTTTATAAATAGAATAAGGAGATCTAGTTGCAATCAACTAGATATTTTCCTTGTAAACCCTCCCCCTCATCCTATATAAGAGGGGGTAGGGGGCCTGAGAAGAGGGCCCCAAGCATCTCCACAA